CATTCAGCTCACTTTCTGATGGTTCTGAGTGCAGGTTGTTCTGTATTTTAGCTGTAATTTGACGTGGTTGTGCGAGGAGGCGAGCCATGTCTGCCTATGCCACCATCTTGACCGGAATTCTGCATTTTTTAAAAAAAGATATTGCCCCAGTAGCAATGAACACTTATCATGCCTAGATCTTAGTTTCTAATACCATTCTACAATATAAGGCACTAAGGCCCCTTGGAGAAATGGCTGACTCTAGGACCAGGCCAGGAAATAGTATACAAGATGGGCCTGGAGTATCTGTAGTCCCAGAAAGGATGCAACAACAAACAAACAAACTCCTCCCATCCAAATACATAATAAAGAAAGTATGTCAAAGGGACCCAGGAGCCAACTGAAAGAGCCCCCAATGGCCAAAGCTGGAATTATGTAAACAATAAAATAAATAACATAGCATTGGATTACAACCCAAAGTCTAAAATAAATATCCATGAGTCCATACTGATTTTAAAAATGACTAATAAATGGGAAGAAGAGACAAGTCTTCCTTGTGTAAGAATTCCATATAATTCATGTAGGTACTTTTCCCTCAAGAAGGTGGAGATTAGCCCCCCAATTCCTTACCTTTGGGCTATGTGGAGTGACTTCCTTTCAAAGAGTCCAATATGGAAAGAAAGAAAGAAAGCACAACTTTACGTGGAGAAACCTGACAAATCATAGGTCATCAAGCCAGGTGATCAAGGCTAACATAAACAGTGATAAGTCATGTTGATAGTGTGTACCCTAGACATGATGTGACAAAATGGCACTGTACCTCTGCTGAGCACAGCACAGAACCGTAGTCTAATCATGGGAAAAAACATGAACAAATCCCAATATAGGGACATCCTGTAATACACCTGACCAGCATTCTTGAAAATGTCAAGGTCATCAAAAACAAGTGTGAGAAACTGCCACTACCTGGGGGAGCCTAAGGAGACAGGACAACGCCTCATTTCTCAACAAATATTTGACAACATAAATGTATTATCATATTCAAGAACAGAAAAAGATTGTAAAACTAAGGATAGCTGAATACCTACCTATAGACTTTAGTTAATATTAATGTATCTATATTGGCTCATTAATTATAACACATATATCACACTAAAATAAGATGTTACTAATAGGAGAAACTGGATATGGGGTGGATGGGAATTTTGTACTAAGTATACTTCTCTATTTTTCTGTAAATCTACCTAAAACTCTTCTTAAAAGTAAAGAAGAAAAATAAAGAAAATAAAGGTCCTGTTTGATGAAGTTTGCAAAGGCCTGGTTTGGAGTTCACAAATTAGGTCAAGTTCGGTGTGGGTAATGTCAGACCTTCAGGCGCAGGTCTATAGGAGTGGTGCTCACCAAACGGAGTTAGCTCAGATCCCAAAGGAGGGAAAGAGGAGGATCCAAGTCCCTTCTCACCCATCTCACAGCACCAGGCTCGGGTACTGCAGGAGGGCTGGTGGGGCTGGCCAGGATCTTGGCAGCTGCTGCAGGCACTTGCAGTTTCCCGTTTTGCTTTGCATCTGCTGGTGGGAGCTACCAGAAGAGGTGGCGTCTGGAAGAGATCTCACCCAAAGACTACATTCAAACAGAATTACCACCTTGGCTGGCTCAGATCTGGCTTTGATTTGGCATGAACCATGGGCTCCCTGCCCCTCCACTTCCATGTCTATTTACAGGATGAGGATAGGAAGTTCCTGACTTTCATGGTGATTCCCTGGCCCTGAGGATTCAACAAGCCCCTCAAGTTAGCAAAGCATTTTAGTACTTCCTGGCAAAGGTCAACGTTAGCTCTCAGCATCCCCTGCCCCACTTCCTCCAACACTCTCCTATTAGATGAGTTCAACTGCTCTTAATTCCTTTGAGAAATGGGGCAACCAATGTATAAATAAATCATCTGAAGAATGTCAATAGCCTTAGGGGAGAGCCAAGTACAGATTTGCTAATGACCCAAACTCAGTATTTGCACTGAAGTGGTATCATTAGAACTCAAATGCATCCCTGAAGGACCCCCCATGAGAACAAGGTTATTCAATGCAGCACAGCTTGTAATAGCAAGAGACTGGAAGAAACTTGAATTCCCTTCCAGAAAGAACTGGTTAAGGAAATTAGACTGTTAAGATGTGTGTGCTTGTACATGTGCATGTATACGTTCCTCTGCTTGTATCTTCCCACTCAAGACATTGATGACACCTGGAAGGATCACTCGAGATGTTGATGACATTGGTGAACTCTGAGGAGAGGACTTGGGGGCCAGGAGACTCAGGAAGAAACTTTACACTGTAAAGTCTTTTGTATCTTTTTCATTTTGAACTCTGTGTGTGTATTATTTATGCTCAAAAATATCTAAGAGAACCAAAGAAAAAATAACGCATCCCTGTGGATCACAGCTGTTGGGGTTGGTTTGGGGGTAATCACCAAATGAAATGGGTGAGACACCGGGGCTCCAGAGTGGCTGGAGGCAGAGGAGGCACCCAGCTCCAGGTCCCTCTGGCAGAGGGTGGCAGGATGGGGCATGACTCCTGAGGCCCAGGGCATCTCAGGGTGGCCAGTGCTTCTGCAGGCGAGCTGATCGGGTGGGGAACACAGATAAGTCTAGAAAATGCAAAACCAAAACCACTGTCCTAGGACCCCTCCCCTTTCCAAAAGGACCCTGTTTCAAATCTGCACAGGTTAGGGGATGGGGGGCCAGGATCCTGGTCAGCTCCCTGATATCCAGCTCAGTCCTGTCACTGGCCAGCTAGGCGAGGCCTTCAGCAGCCTAATTCTCTCTGAGCCTCTGTGAACAGCAACAGTGATGGGCCTTAACACCACGCAGGCAAGGCTTTTATGGTAAATGAGCTATACATGTGTTTATATACATGTAGTTCCTATTACACATCAAGAAATTGACCTGTGCTCTTAAATTCGGTAATTGAAACACTTCCAATTAACCCTGGCCGTTGCTAAAATTACCCGTGAAGTGGAACCAGAAGAAATCACTAGTAGGAGGCAGGGGAGTTGAAGAACAGCAAGGCAAGTGCATATAAGTGCATGAGCTCCTCCTTGTGGCTCAGACATGGGAGGGTGGACTCTGGAATCAACATCACCGTCACTGCTGGTCTTCTGAGGTCCAACCTCAGTCCCACGAGGGTCTGGCCTGGGCCCTCACCAGGACAGAGGTCTGTGGCTGTTCTTGCTACCACTGTCCCTCATACTGAAAATCCAGGCGTCCGCACCCCAGACCCAGTGCTTGGGACACTGCTCGATATACAGTAGCCTCCCAATATGACATTATAAAAAAAGTAAAACTAAATGATGAGTTTGGGAAGATGAAAGCAGGTCCAGAGATGGATGGTGGTGGTTATACAACAATGTGAATATGCTTAATGCCACTGAACAATGCATTTAAAAATGGTTAAAATGGTAAATTTTGTTATGCATATTTTACCACAATAAAAATGGATGAGATTAACCTCACCTTCACCTGCTCTACTTTCTTTTCCAAATTCCCCACCACTAGTTACCAGATCTGTTCTCTAAATGGGAAAAGGGCCTCCAAAGTCCCTTCTGGGTCATCTCCTCTTTGCTCCTTTCTAGCTGGTACCGCCAGGCAGGCCCTTGGCTTTGAACACAGCAGGACCCTGAGCATTGCCCAAAGCTGCTGACCTCCAGCCCAGGTGGCCCCAGCCCCCGCTGTCCTGCTCACCTGCCCACCTGCCAGTCAGCACAGTGAAAGCAGGGTGAGCTCCCACCGCGCCTGCTCCCCGCTCCGGCTTCTGGCTTCCCAAGCCGCATGTTGCTCTAGATGCTCCAGTCTCCCATCCAAGTGTGATCCATGATTCCCATCCTTCCCTCACCCCAAATTCCAGACTCTCAGAGCATCTCACTGCTCCCTTGAAGCACACCCGAGGCCACCACTTCTGTCCTTCCCACTGCCAACCTTCCTTTCTCAATGGGCTACTGCCTCCCTGCTCCATCCCTACCCTTCTAGCAATGTATCGTCCTCACAGGCCATAGCCACCTTCATTAAAGGCAGCTCAGGTCATTGCTGCCTGCCTCAAACCTTCCCAAACGCCTCAGTGCTCTGAGGATGATGTCCGATTCCTCACCCTAGGTCACAGAGCCCCAGGTCACCTGCGTCTGGCCCACCCAACCCCACCTGTGCTGGTCCCTTGATCCTTGCCAGCCACACTGGCCTTCTCCTTGTTCCTTGTTCCACATCAGTCCTTTGTCCAGCTGTTTATTCTGCCTGAACACCCTCCTGAAATTCATGTAACTGTATTCTCTCATTTTCAGCTCAGCCTACCTGTCACCACTTTCAAAAGGCCTTCTTACACCCAACATCTAAAGAGGCCCTGGTCACTTTAACATCCCTCAGTCCTCTGGACAGCATGGTCGCTGTCTCCCTGGATGGAGTGGCCAGTCACGTGGGCAGGGGCTTGTCTGCCTTGCTCACAGCGGGGTCCCAGCTCCCAGAACAGGCCTGGCACTGGGCTACGCAGTAGCAAGCAGGTGAAAATCAAGTCCATGAGAACCTTTCGCCTTCAAATGGGGCCTGCAATTTGGAGAGCAGCCAGCAGACAGAGTGACAGAAACAGGTGAAATCGAGGGAGGGGGAGGGCAGAGTGACAGAACCAAGGCAGTGTGTTACAGGCAGGAGGAACCCCAACTGAATGGTGACCAGTATTCCCATGGACTTGGGGCCTGCAGCAGGGACTTGGCCCGCATGTGTGCAGGGAGCCTGACTTTCAGAGGCAAAGCCCAGCCCTTCATACCGCCCCACCTCCCAACACTGTGCATGGTGTGAAAAACAACCTTGCGACTCACCTTAAAGGAATGGAGGGAAACATATGAAAGTCACAAAAATATATTAAAACAGCTGTTTTCTTCTCTCTTGGCACTGGCCTCCCTTCCCAGTGCCCCTTGCACACCACCCGCCATGGCCTTTCAGAGGAAAAGATGCCCAGGGCAGGAAGACGGAGGTGCCCCAGCTGCAGCCCAGGGTCTGAGGCGGTGCCTCCAGCCTGGAAGTGAGGCCTGCTAACAGTCTCTACAGACCCGACGCCACTGTCGACGAGGAGGCCGCTGGGAGGCCGGAGGTGCAGGAGGGTCAGGCAGGATGCAGCGCACAGTCGGGCCTTGCCACAGGGACAGAAAACAGAAGAGAAATGAACAGAGTGAAGAGGGGGAGACAGAAAAGTTAAAGTAGTAAAAGCTGGGGAACAGAGGAGTAGGGACGTCAGGAAGTGGCAGAGTGGGGACAGATGAGGGAAACCCACCAGGTGGCACCCACTCTGGGGGACCAAAAGGCCAAGGAGCTGGGGTTTGAGGCAGTGGATGCTGCTGAGAGGGAGGGAGGGAGAGGGATGTGGGAGAGGAAAAGGGCACTCGGCATTTGGGAGAGGTAGAAAACTGGGCCTTGCCAAGGCCACAGTCAGAGAGGACAGAACAGAGGACATGAGAGAAGCGAAAGTCCCAGAGTGGCAAGGCCAGGCTACAACGACCACCTCAGACTCAGAAAAACGAGATGCATCCCCACAAAACTGGGACCTGGCCCAAATGCCTGAGGAAGACCAGCAGTGCCATCCAGAAGCGGGGCCACGCCCTCACTGAAGACTGACGGAGCCAAGAGCCTGGACAGGGGCCTGCGCCCCACCCATGGGCTAGAAGGTCCTGCGGCCCAGTCTTTTGAACACGCTCACAGTGCCTGCGTGGTCCATCTGGGCACCAAGGCCCTCGCTGGAGCTGCTCCCCCGGGTCCCTAGAGTCCTCTTAATGGTGACCTTGACCTTGGCTGAGGACTTACTCTTGGTGCTTGTGACCTGGCTGTCCTGGGCCTCAGGGACAAGGGCGGTCTTGCCTAGTCTCTTGATGATGCTGACTTTGGACAGAGACTCTGGCTTCCTCTCGAGCCCTGGGCGAGAGGAAAGGGCCAGGCGCCGCAGTGTCGGGGTGTTGGCCATTGTCGCTGAGCTTGTGGCCTTGGCTTTGACAGTGAGCGCTGGCTGGGGACTGGTCTTGGTTGGGCCCCGGCCTAACTTCTTCAGGACCCCAGCATATTGTAGGACAGAGCTGCTGCTCTCATTGTCGCTGTCCCAAGCCAGATCCTCATCCATCTCTGGGGTAGCCCCCAGGCGGCTGAAGACTCCCGTGGGCTGTGGAGGTCAGAGACAAGATGAGTGAGTCATTTAGTCACTCAACACGTATCCATGGTGAGCTGCCTCATATGCCTGGCCTCATGGAAATCACATGGGAGAGTCATCCATTGGTGACACCCTGGATAGTGGGGAGAACCATGACAGGGGAAGTCCAGGGAGCTGGGAGGAGCCCATAGTAGGCTCCTGATCTTGCATGGAGTTCAGGAAAGGCTCCCCGGAGGAGAGACACCTGAGAAGAGATCTGAAAGTTGACAGGAAGTGGGTCTAGTAGGGAAGGGAGGAGAAAGCATGTGCCACTAAGAGGTAAGGCTGTCAGCTAAGGATTGCATGTGAACAGGAGAGAAAAGACAAATTTGGTCATCACTCAACAAATATTTTCTGAGTTCCTACTCTGTATCTAGCCATGTGCTGGGTGGTGCTGAGGACACAGTTGTGACCAAGATAGACCTGGCCCTGCCCTCCGGGGGCTCACAGTCCAGAGGGGAAGACAGACCTGGCATTGGAAATGACACAAACAATTCTCTAATTATAATAGTTATGGGAAGCTTTAGGAAGGCTGTCAAAGCTGAATCAGCAGTGAAAGGAGTGTGGGCTAAGTCCCCAAGTCAGGAATAATAATCACTGGAGCACTCGCACTGTGGCAAGCTCTTGACGCGGCCGCATCTTCAAGCCACATGACTCTGAGTGCTACTATCATGCTCATGCTAAGAGTCCAGGAAGTAAGACAAGGCCAGAGTGGGTGAGGCAGGAAATGCAGCTGGAGAGCTCCCCCACAGTTAATAAAAGGTGACATTTAAAGTGTGCTTATCATGCGCCAGACACCCCCAGCTCCATGCAGGTACATATCCCTTAATCCTCACGACCGCACTATGAGGTAGATACTATACAGATGAGGGAACTGATGTAGGAAGGGCAGAAGTGACATGGCCAAGGCCATGTGGCCAGGCAGTGGCAGAGCCAGATTTATGCCAGGCAGCGGGCCCAGGCTGGGCGCTCCCAACCACGCACGGTGCCTGGAACCCGCGAGACTGCAGGCCAAGGCGAGAAGAGCAGGAGGCCGATGGCTTGTCCTGTGGGCAGCACACACTGCTGCTGTGGGTGAAGGGCTGAAGGGGTTCACAGTAGCTATGCAGAGAGCAGGTAGGAGGTCACCTCCCTGTCCAGACAGGGGGAGGAGGCAGAGCAGGCAAGACCGACGGTGCCGTCAGCCTGGTGACTGCCTAGAATGAGGGCAGTGGGACGTCCCTGAGCCAGGACCCAAGAAAGGAGTTGCTGTGGGGGATGAGGCTAAGGCTGATTTGGGACATGGTGGTAGGAGGGGTCCAAGAGCGCATTCAAGAGTTGGCCAGACCCCAGGGCTGGACATCGGGAGAGGTCAGGACAGAAGACAGATGGGGAAGACACCAGTGCAACGAAGGGAACTAGGGCTGGAAAGGTGGGTGAGGTGGCCCCAGGATGTGCTAGGGGTGAGATGTGGGAAGTGTCAGGAACAACACCTAGGGAACACAAGAATTCGAGAGCCCCAAGTGGCTCCCTGATCTCCAACTCACTTTATTCCCCGTCGTTGTGTCTGCCTTGGTCTCGGCGCCGAGGCGGTCAAACACAGATGTCCTGTGGATACCTGGGAGGGAAGTGAGGCCATCATCCAGCACCTGCTGAGTGGCCGCTGTGGGCCCAGACCAGGCTGACAAGGGAGCAACAACATGGCCAGCCCAGGCCCCAGGCAGCATTGGCCCAGGCAGGCACAGACTGGGCCCAGTTAGGTTTTGTGTCTGCACTTGTGGGATAACACTGACCTTGACCCACACGATTCTGGCTAGTGTCAAATATGGGAAGTGTCAGCTAAAACTGATACATGTTCCTTGTGCTTAGTACAAGTCCATAAAGTGTGTGTGCAGTAAGAGTTCTTAACTCCTACTCGTGTCTCTCACTCTTTTTGATGTCATGGGCCTCTGAGAGAATCTGGTGAATGGTAACAAGTCCTCTCCCTAAATAGCTACCAACAGAATGCTTGATGTTATGATATATAAATACTGTGGGAATATTTAATAAGCATTAACAAGAATGAATACAGGCATGCCTTGGTATCTGTGGGAGACTTGTTCCTGAACCACCACGGACACCAAAATCCACAAAGCTCAAGTCCAGTATATATAGCCTACATTTCCATAGAGGTTAAAGCAGAGTACTCCTACTCATCACTGCATTCACGTGGATTCAGTGTAGCACTTGGCATATGGCAAATTCAAGTTTTGCTTTTTGGGAATTTCTGGGAGTTTTTTTCCCCTGAATATTTTCAATCTGCAGTTAGTTGAGTCCACAGATGTGAAACCTGTGGAGATAGAGGGCTGGCTGTAGATGTACGTGCACTAATGTGAAAAGATCTCAATAAAAGAGTCGTAAAGCAACACCTACAGGATGATGTTATGTGTTTAGAAAGAAAAGAATGCCTATATATGTGTTGACATATATATAGATGCAAATAAGTTCAGGGATGTTAGTCTGGAAAGGTTAACAACAGGTGTGGAATGTGGCAGGGAGGGGAAAGAGTTTGTTTTTACTGTATATGCTTCTGCATCATCTGAATGATAATGACAGTTCCTACTTATCTGGGCACCTGCCCTCAGCCAGGTATGGTCCCACACTTAAGAGGCAGGCCATCGCGAGATCCATGCCAGCGCCCCCTGGGGAAGAACACCAGTGGAAGGACTGAGCAGGCCTGCAACACTATCCTCAGGACAAGAGGGCACAGGTGGTGACCTACCCTGCCCCCTATGACCACCATTACTGTCCCCTTGGTCCAAGGTCCCCTGAATGCCATTAGAACCTGCTTCTCAGCCCATCCCAGTGGGCTGCGACCAAAAGGGAAACATAGTCTCTGTGCCAAAGCGTGCCCCGGCCAGGACAGTACCTTTCACCGCCTGCTGTTGCTCCAGGATTTTGCGGGTCCGGGGGGTGGTGCCTTTGGGCATGTTGATGATGTATTTCCCCTCCATCTCAGCAGTCACCCTGCGTCTCTTGGTGGGAACAGCCATGCTCTCCTCCTCCCGGTGGGCCAGTGCAGCTGTGGGAGAGGGTGGGGGTGAACACCTTCTGGGATGGAATATTCCCCCAGGGTAGGAACTAGATACTCTGCAAAGGGCGCTCACGTGCCCTTTATCTCCATGAGTCCGCATGACTGGAACCCCTTACTTCTCAACCACCACCATCACCGCTGACTCTGAACCGCCAAGAAACTCAGAGGTCTGGGCAAGATGGGGGACAGAAGGCACTCCGAACCCCCAGGCTGCGTGGTTCTCTGTGGCTCTGTCTCTGCCTCAAGCAGTCGCATCTCCTAGCCCAGCCAGGCTTCCCTCAGACATTGGGTGGGTGGAAGGGTTATAGAGCTCCAAAAAGGTAGTGGTTTCACAGGTGTGCTCACTTTTCAAAAATTAATCAAGTTGTATAGCTGTATGCTTACAATTTGTGTATAAGTTACACTTCCATTTTTATTTTATTTTTAAAAAATATCTTATTTATTTTTAGAGAGGGAGAAAGAGAGGAAAAGAAATATCAATATGTGGTTGCCTCTCGTGCGCCCCCTACTGAGGACCTGGCCTGCAACCCAGGCATGTGCCCTGACTGGGAATCGAACTGGCAATCCTTTGGTTCGCAGACTGGCGCTCAGTCCACTGAGTCACACCAGGCAGGGCTACACCTCCATTTTTTAATAAAAGTATCCCCTCAAATGTGTCAAGGGGTAAGAATGCCAGTCCCTCCCAGGCTCACTATCTTTTTCATACTTTAGAAATTAATTTTAAATTTCTTGCTCATGGCACACAAATCAAAGGGCCAGAAGAGGGTAGAGGCACTTCCAAATACCCACAGCAAAAAGGGCACATGCAGGGTGCCATGGAAGTAGACAGGGAATGATGGGCCTGGGGTCAGATAACAAAGCCCCCTCCCTGGGCCTCAGTTTCCACATGTGCCAAGATCATTGTTGTGGGACGGGTTCAACAAAGGCAAGAAAGTGGGGAACAGAGAGAGGTGTGGAAGCCCTAAGGCCAGAGTCCCATTACCAGCTTTCAAGCTGAGACCTAGAAGAGAAACAGAGGCCAATCGCAGAAAAGTCTGCGGAGGAAGCATGCTTCAGAAGAAGGGAACACCAGAGCAAAGACCCTGCCGGGGAAGGAGGCTGGAGGGGACCTGAGGCAGTGAGCAAGGGGGAGAGACACAAGAGATGAATCCACACTAGGGCTGGATTTTACTACTGGAATAATGGGAAGCCCTGGAGAGTTCTAGACAAGGGTGTAAAAGGATCAGGTTGAGGGTTCTGAAGGATCCCTCTGGCTGCTGAGAGGAAATGGTAGCTGCTTTGCCTTGGCCCCCAGGCAATAAGCACAGGGCCCGGCACCAGTGCCCAGCCGGGGCTCAGTGAACGAACATCTGTTAAAAAAAGACCAAACCACCTATAGCCAACAATACTGTTGTGTACCCGTAAAACTTTGTAAAGAGAGAAGATCTTATGTTAAGTGTTCTTACCACAATAAAATAAAATTTAAAATACTGAACCAACCACTGAGTGACAACCACCATGCACCTGTGCTTAAAAACGCCATCTCAAGTGCTTCTATCGGCCCTCTGGGCAGGGGACCACCGGCCCCACTGGATAGGCACGCAAAGCACGGCCCACAGAGGTGCAGTGACTTGACCAAATCCAAACACTCTGAACACTCAGTGGCTTTCAAGGTACTTGCAATGTGGAGAACATGACCCCCAAATACTATCTGCCACCCCACATTCACCTCCAACTCCTCCCGCCAGCTGCCCGAGTTCCCTCACCAGCGGCCTTGGCACTCTTTGCTGCCATCTTGTTGGACACAGTGACGGAGATCTTAGAGGTGCTGGTGTCTGACCGCCTGGGGGGAGTTCCAGGTGGGGAGTCACGGTTCAGGCTATTGGCAATCATTCGGGAGGCGGCTGTGGGGAGGAAGGGGGAAAGTCCAGATGAGTGGACCCTGGGAAGCGGTCCTGGCTGAAGAAGGCCAACCTTGGGTCTGAGTGGGGCAGAAGCAGGCAGAGTCACTGAGGAGGGGATGCGTGGGGATTGGGTGGGCCAGTATTCCCAGGAACCAGCCTACCCCTCTCTGCTCCAAGGCCCTGCCATGGGGTTCAGAACCAGGGGGTTCCCACCGCCCTCCACCCATCAGTCACCAAGCCCTGCTCTGACCCTGTCTCTTCCCTCTCCGCTCTACTGCAGCCAGGCGGGCCTCTGGATTGTGGCCTGGCATGCAGTTCCCTGGGTACCAAAAGGCTCGCTCTGCCTTTCACACACGTCTCCTCTCAGAGAGCACCTCCTCAGAGAAAGCTTCCTGATCACTCATCAACTTCTACCCTCCTACCCTACACTGCACTTTCTTTTCCTAGCCCTTATTACTGCTTGATGTTAAATTACATTTGTCCGCTTACTGGAGGACTCTCACACAAGCACGCAAGCCCCATGAGGAGACTTGCAAGCTGCCTGTTTCCTGCTGTAGCCCCAGCGCCTACAACACCTGTGGCGCTTCACAAGTCCTCAGTAAACAGCTACTGAAAAGATGAACACTACTACCAAACGTCCCCACATCCCCACTAGACGGACTCTACTGCCAACCAACTTTATAGACAAGGGAACTGCGACTCAGCCACACCCCTGGGCAATGTGGGTCTGGCTCCAGCTGGTGACCTCCCTTGGGGGGCGGGAGTACAGGCTCTGGTGGCCCCTACCTTCTGCAGAGCAGGAGGAGGAATGCCCCAGGGTGTAAGGTGAGAGTTATACAGCCCCCATGCAGGAGGGCCACCCCAGTGTGGGAGGGAGACAGCCAGGGACAGTGTTCTGTCATGGCAGGTGGGCAAGCGCGGCTTGGGTAAAGGAAGAACAACTGCTCAGCTGAACAGGAACAGCAATCAGAACGTCAGGACCCAAAGAGCTGTTCCTCCGCCCCCAAAACAGACACATTCATTCGATGTTACAAAGTGTACACCAGTGCCAGTATCAGAATACTGTTCTGAAACACTCTTCCCCACCTTTCCTTCTTTGCCTGTTTCCCCTTTCTATTTAATTGCCTATTTTCTCCCCTAGTGCTTTTGTTGGTTTTAATTTTTAAAATTTATTTTAAAGTGCCCTGGCCAGTGTGACAGGGTGGGAGTGTCATTCTGTAAACCAAAAGGTCACAGGCTTGATTCCCGCTCAGGGAACAACCAGGGTTGCAGGTTCAGGCTCCAGTTGGGGCACATGTGAGAGGCAACTGATCAATGTTTCTCTTTCACATCAATGTTTCTCTCTCTCTCCCTCTCTCCCTCCCTTTCCCACTCTCTAAAATCAATAAACATGCCCTCAGGTGAGGATTTTAAAAAAAATGTATTTTAAACTATTCAAAACACTCAGAATGGTACAAAAAGTACATACTACCTAATTTCATTCATATAGACTTGAAAGACTAACAAAACTAATCTATGCGGTTAGAAATCAAGGGGGTAAGTACCCTTGAGATGAGGGGCTGATGCTGGTCGTGTTTCTGTTTCTGCATGTGGATGCTGCTGCCTGCATGGTACCCCATCTGTGAAGTCAGTCAGCTGTACTGTCATGATCTGAATGCTTTTCTGCGTATAAGCTGTGGGATATGTTTGCAGAAACAAACTCCAACTTGTCCAGCCTTCCTTGCGCATGCCCTTGGGAAGGCCCTGCCTGCCCAGTGACTCTGAGCTGAGTCATGTGACTGGCTCTGCCAATGGTACGATAGCAAATGTTATAGAAGCAGAGGCTTACGAGGTGATTTGAGAAATGGGGCCTGCCCCTGTACGCTGCTTTTGGGATCTCTGCCACTGCCACTGTATGGACAAGCCTGGGCTAGCCTGCTAGAAAATGAGAGAAGTGGCCAAGGTGCTGCTGTTGGCCCAGATGACATCACGCCAACCATCAGATGTGGGAGTGAGGCCTCCTACATCACCCAGCCTCACCCAAGCTGCCAGGTGGCCATCGACACCAGCTGAGCTGGCCCAGATCAGAAATGACCAGCCAAGTCATAAAACCATGAGAAATAAAAGTCTGTGTTTTAAACCATTTTGGGGGTGGCCTGTTAAGCAGTAAAAGCTAATATACATGTTAAATTTTTTAGGGTTTTTTTTTTAACATTATCATACTGCTGGAAAACACAAAAGTGTGAGTAGAGTCCGTTCTCACCATTCAGATTCCATATTTTCAAATTCACCTCTTCATTAAAATTTCTTTGTAACCCCCAAACCAATACGTATGATGCTTTTGTGGTCATTCACAGACATGGGCAGAATGGCCAAAAACTTGAGTCGCCCATGCTCCCAACTGAGATCAAACAAGGCCACACACTCTGTTTTTGTTTCAGCTCTCATACAATAAATAAGCGTTCTTCTTGTGGTCTGTTTAATGTCACATTTTCATATTTTTGTGCTTTATGTGATTTTGCTGTTTAAAATGTCCCTTAAGCACAGTGCTGAAGAGTTACCTGGTGGTCCTAAGTGCAAGATGGCAGCGATGTACATGCTTTACGGAAAAAACACACGTGTTAGATTAGCTCCATTCAGGAATGAGTTACAGTGCTATTGGCCATAAGTTCAATGTTAATGAAATAAGGTGTCTTTAAATGGAAACACATAAAAGAAGGTTCTGTATGGATCCGCTGACGAAAAGTGCTATGATCAGAGGATTGCAGGAGCCTAACCCTACCCTTCCACTAGGAGCAGTGCTCTGGTATTCACAGATTCAGTGTGTGCAGTTACTGGGGCACAGAGCCACCTCCAGCCCCTCCTTATCCAGCGTATTTTTCCCTAAGAGAAGAGGGCCTCGGACCTTTGCTGCCACCTCTGCAGACTCCAGATGTGCTCCCTTCAGCTGCAGGGGTAAATAATGAAGGAGAGGAGGCCTGAGCAGATGGGACTCACCGCTGGAGGTGCCTCGGCGAATCTCGCCTGGGAGGGGGCTGGGGCTGCAGGGCGCCGACTCAGTGGCAGCTTTGCACATGTCCTGTAAAAAAAAAACACAGGAGCCTGGGTTACCACGGACAGGGGGGCATGATGTGCGGGAACAGGGAACCCACAAATCTAAGAGAAACTAGGGGTATCAGAGCTGCTAGAGAAAAGAATTCAAGACATTCCACTCTGAACCATGAGAAAGCATCAGACAAACCCTGACTGAGGAGCATTCTACAGGACACCTGACCATCCTTCAAAACTGTCAAGGTCACCTCAAGTCTCTCTGCTGTACACCTGAAGCCAATATAATACTGTATGTCAACTGTAATAAAAAATTAAACTTAAAAAATATATACCTAAAATAAATATAGCAAAATATTAAGACCTTAATAAAGCTGATCAGCTGTAACTTGAAAGAAAAAAACTGTCAAGGTCATCAAAAACCTCAGAAGACTATAAAGTTGTCACCAATCAAGAGACAAAGGAGACATAAGTCAAAGCAGTGAGGCATCGTGGGACAGAATAAGGACATTAATGGAAAACCGGATGAAATCCAAATAGTCCAGTTTCGTTAATGATAGCATATTACTGTTCATGTCTCAGTTCTGACAAATGCACCTTCACTATGTAAGATGTTAACAGCAGAAGCTGAGTGAAGGACACACAGAAATTTTCTGTACTGTTGTTGGAACTTTTCTAGAAATTGAAAATTCTTCCCAAATTTAAAAGTTTAAAGGGAAAAAACAAGTTTCTCGGTGACCATCTCCATGATAAGTGGGATAATGTCCCTGGCCTGGAAAGCCCTCACGCTGGGGCCTTGTCCTGCACGATGGGAACGCGAAGGCCGTCTCCAGGTTGCAGGGAGCCACGGGCACCGAGGACAGCACCTCAGCGGCCGCCGAGCGCAGGGCGGGGTGCTTGAGAGGGCAGCTTGGGGCAAGCGTCCTCTCTGTCAGGTGGAAGGAGAAGCAAGTGAGTTAATATGTGTAAAGGGTGGCGACGGCCCGGCAGGCAACCGCAGGCGCTTGGCAAGTGTTCTAGCGACTGTCACTTCGCAAGCACTTCACTTCAGGCCTGGCACTCCTTGCCACATACACTGTTCGGGATGTGGCCACAGCCACCCTATGCCGCAGGGGTGTATGAAAAGACCATTTCAGAGAGATTCAGGGAGGTGAAATCACTACTCTAAGGACACTGTAAACAGGACGGGGTAATGTAACAACCCTATTGTTGGCCACCAACCGAGTCCCACAGAGGAAGCTCCTGTTCTGGGGACAGAGAAGAATCCTGGTAATGATGGTTATCACTAGTAAGATGAGAACTAGTAATAATAATAATTATAGGGAGTCTTAACTGAAGCCCTACTTTTTATATTGTACTAGAGTTTTGTATAATATAATACCTACAACCACCCTACCAAATACGTTTGCCTATGTGCGTACTACAGGTGAACAAAGTAAGGCTCAAAAAGTTTAGGCAACATGCCCAATGTCACTCAGCTAATGCAGAACCAGCCTTGGAACCCAGGTCCGCCTGCCTTTGCTTCCAAGCCTCCTTATTGGCTCTGTCACTGCCCGCCACCCCGCCACCCTAAGTCCAGGAACAGAGGGATGGGGCAGAGCACCCACCTGACGGTGCACCACCTTGGCATGCTTGAGGATGGCGATGATGTCGCCCACCACGGTCACGCCCAGCTCATTCATGATTTCCTTGTTCAGATCAAGAAGCATGCTCTTCTGGATCCTGCCGGAGACGGGCAGCAGTGAGGCCACAGTGGGCCAGGGTGGGTGGGCCAGCCAGCTCCCTGTCCCCTCCCATCTCTTCCCTCCTCTCTCCAAGTCCAGCTCTGTCCCTTCGGAGCCCTTACCTATTATCCACAAACATCACGGCGTAATTGACAGCAGGTCCTGGAGGAATGCCGGCTTCCTTAAAGAACTGGATCCACTCGGAAGTGGCTGGCGGGGGTGGACAGGGCTCATTATTCACATTATTCTCTTTGGAGAGCAGCCGCAGCAAAACCACAATAGCACCGGTTCCCACAAATTAAATGCTTATCAAATGCCAGGTCCTTTGCTGAGTGCTTTACACACAGGATGGAGTTAAGGCCGCCTGACAAGCCAGTGAGTTAAGCAGCACTGACTCCTCCACTTTGCCAGTGAGGACACTGGGGCAGGGAGAGGCCAGACAGCTCACCCCCAGCCACACTAACAAGCAGCAGAGTTCCTTGGTCCCTATGCTGCCGTGCTATCCTCCTTACAACTCTGCCCTGCCCTGGAGCATGACCTACAGTGATCATTGCCAGCCCCCTGCCCCCAAGCTTGGCCAGTGATGGAGGAGGGGAAGCTGAGACTCTGGGTTCTCTACCTCAGTCCCCATCAGCGGGCCCAGCCCCTGAGAGTGACAGGATCTGCAGGTGAATGGAAAGAAAAGTCACAGAGTCCTGGCCAGGTTGCTCAGTTGATTAGAGCACTGTCTTGATACACCAAGGTTGTGGGTTCGATCTCTGGTCAAGGCACATATAAGAATCAACCAAAAGCCCTGGCTGGCGTTGCTCAGTGGATTGAGTGCCAGCCTGCGAGCCGAAAGGTCGCTAGTTCAATTCCCTGTCAGGGCATGTGCCTGGGGTGCAGGCCAGGTCCCCAGTTGGGGGCGAGAGAGAGGCAACCAATCAATGTTCATCTCACACACTGATGTTTCTCTCCCTCTCTTTCTCCCTCTCTTCTCTCTCTGCAGATAAATAAAATCTTTCAAAAAGAAATCAACCAATGAATGCACACATAAATAAATGGAACAACAAAACTCCCTCTTCCCTCTCTATCTCAAACCAATAAAAATATTTAAACAACAAAAAGGTCTGTGACCTTTTGGGTGTCAGGCAAGTTCCCACCTCACCACAGGAATAGCCATGCCTTGCAATCAGGCGTAGAGGCCACAGGCACCAGCTCTGGAGCTTGGGTTCAAATCCTGGCTCTGCCATTTCCCAGCTGAGGGACTTTGGGCAAATTAGCACTTGGTACTTCAGTTTCCTCATCTGGAAATCTGGGGTAACACTTCAGAAGTACGCACTGAGCACTTGGCACAGGCCAGGTCCTGTCCAAGGGCCCTTGGGATGCTACAGGGCACAAGACAAAGCCCCTTCCCTCACAGAGCTGACATTCTAGAGGTAACAGCACCAATATCTTTGGGTCACTGTGCAGACTCAATGCAAAAGTCCATGTAAAGGGCTTTAAAATAAAGACTTGGCCAGAGGACATCCTCAACCCACTGCAGTTATTAATATTAATATTATTCTGCCACCACTACACATAGAGCCAAGGCCAAGACCAGGCAGACCTCACCCAGGTAGCTTTATTGTTTCTAAATTTCTTTCTTGTCCTCTTGGGTCCAATTTGACCTTCAAATTGACTCTGACCTGTCAGACCAGCGATCAGACAAGACCACTGATTTCAAGTAGAATTTTTTTTCACATTTTACTACCTCTGAAGCCAGGATCTACCTCACAATCGATGGTGTGCCACAGTTTAACAGGCAACATTCTTTTTCTTTCTCATGGTATAGAACATCACATCCAACATTCCATGCCAGTTTAGATTAGAAAAAAGTTGGTACTGCTGTGCCCATTTTGCTCGAAGACAACTGAGGCTCAGAGCAGGGAAAGAGGCACACTCTGGATCCGAGGTGATAGTGCAGGGCTCAGGCACATGCCCAAGGACCGCACCTCCCCTAGGAGGTCTCTGCCCACCCGGCCAAAGGTCTGTATTTCCAACTGAGAGAGGTGGATTCATGCCCACAGGAAAGAAGGGCTGCCTCTACTCTGCACAGGCGCTGGGTGCCTGCCAAGCCAGGGTGCCCTGGTTTCCATCAGCCAAAAGCAGGCACCTTTGTCTACGTATCAAAAAGCACCACACAATGATTCCATTTATAAGAAATGTCCAGAATATTAAATCTATAGAAATCCATAGAGGCAGAAAGTAGATTAGTGTTTGTCAGGGGTTAGGTGTGGGAGGGAGTAACTGTTAATGGGTTTTGGGTTTTTGGGAAGAGATGAAAATGTCAAGGCCTTGGCTGTGTAGCTCAGTTGGTTAGAACAGTGGTCCCCAACATTTTGGTGGTGGCGGGGGGCAGGGGTAGACAGGAGGTGGAGCTCAGGTGAGCTTCTACAGTCTGTGGACCAGCATCCCAGGGATTGGGGACCCCTGGGTTAGAACATGATCCAAATATACAAAGGTTGTAGGTAGACTCTCCAGTCAGGGCACTTACAAGAATCAACCAGTGAACACATAAATAAGTGGAACAACAAATCGATGGAGCTCTCTCTCTCACATACACTCTCTCTCTCCCTCACTCTCTCTAAAATCAATAAAAAAAAAAAAAGAAAATGTTTTGAAACTGATTGTGTTGATGGTTGAGCAACTCTGTGAACAGAAAATATAGAATATAAAAACCACTGAATTGTACCCTTTGACCATGTGATTGTACAAAATGTAAACTGTCTATCAGTCAAGCTCTTAAGGAGAAAAAAGTGCCACATAGGTTGGGGGTAGCTAGTTTCCTGAAGCAAAGTCAAGGAACTGCAAAAGTCCCCACCCACATCCAGGCCGCAGCATCATTTTATGCACCAGCAGGTCCTTGAATAACATTGTCTCGTTCCACATCATTTTGTTACAATATTGATAAGATACTATATAACTTAACTCTTGTTTATATCAATTTGCCTATGATAAAACTGGTTTCATTGTATGCCATTTTGCTTAAAGTCACAAAATCTACTGACAATGTTAAGTGAGGACTCATAGTACTACAAAGAAGGAAACTAAGAGGAAAAACTCCTGCCAATCAAACAGTTATAAGCCACCAGCTATAAGATGTGCTCCCATTTCAGAAATAAGATGAATGTGTGTCTTGGAATCAGTGAGGCGTGGCTTCCTGTACACAGGACCAAAATACTCACAGAAGCTTGTCTGTAGTAGTCCCAAGCCAGAAACACTGCAGTATCTATATCAATAAACAAATGGTGGTTGCTTCTGTGGTGAAACACTACACAGCAGCAAAAAGAACTACAGTACACACGGCCACTAAGATGACTCTCAAACGTTATGTTCAGCAAAAGAAGACAGACAGAAAAGAACTCGTGGCATGTTTCATTCATGTAAGTTCAAAACCAAAGTCCATGGACTACAAGGAAAGGTAAGGTGAGATTAATGCAAAGATACGATAGTGGGTCGTGGCAGGTATGGCTCAGTGGATTGAGTGCCAGCCTGTAAATCAAAGCATTGGTGGTTCAATTCCCAGTCAGGGCACATGCCTGGGTTGCGGGTCAGGTCCCCAGCAGGGGGTGCACGAGTAGCAACTACACATTGATGATTTTTAAGAATATATATATTTTATTGATTATGCTATTAAAGTTGTTGCATTTTTATCTCCCCTTTAGTCCCCTCTTCCCTGCACCGTCCCTGCCACCAGCATTCTCCCCCACCAAATTATTAGCACCGGGTTGGATCGTCCGTCTTGCTCCCCAGCTGTTTCCACTCTGGGACGACTTTAAACGTTCCAACATCCGAATTGTAGGGGTGCCAGAAGGAGAAGAGGAAGAGCAAGAAATCGAAAAGTTGTTTGAAAAAAAATAATGAGGGAGAACTTCTCCAACCTGGCCAAGGAGATAGATTTCCAGGAGAGACAGGAAGCTCAGAGTCCCGAAGAAGTCGGACCCAAGGAAGCACACACCAAGGCACGTCATAGTTACACAACCCAAGATTAAAGATAAGGACAAGAATCTTAAAAGCAGCAAGAGAAGAAGAGACAGTTACCCACAAAGGAGTGCCCATAAAACTATCAGCTGACTTCTCAAAAGAAACCTTGCAGGCAAGGAGTATTCAAAGTCATGAAAGACAAGGACCTATACCCAAGATTACTCTTTCCAGCAAAGCTGTCATTTATAATGGAAGGGCAGATAAAGTGCTTCTGAGAGAAGGTAAAGTGAAAGGAGTTCATCGTCACCAAGCCCTTATTATATATGAAATGTTAAAGGGACTTATCTAAGAAAAAGAAGAAGATCAAAAACTATGAACAGCAAAATGACAACAAACTCACAACTATCAATGACTGAACCTAAAAAACCCCCCCACAAAAAACAAACTAAGCAGACAACTAGAACAGGAATAGAATCACAGAAATGGAGATCAGAGGGGAGGGGGCGGGGAGAATGGGAGAAAAGGTACAAGGAATGAGTAGCAATAAATAGTAGGTACAAAATAGGCAGGGGGAGGTTAAGAATAGTATAGGAAACAGAGAAGCCAAAGAACTTATATGTACGACCCATGGACATGAACTAAGCGGGGCAGGGTGGCGGGGGGTGAATGCTGGTGGCAGGGACGGTGCAGGGCAGAGGGGACTAAAGGGGAGAAAACAATGCAACAACTTTAATAGCATAATCAATAAAATATATATTAAAAATAAATAAAATAAATACAAACATTAAAAAAAAATAGTGGTTTATTTCATCTGGAGGAGAAAAGAGGTCGTGATTGAGGTGGGGCCCACAGGAGGGCTAGCAATATTCTATTTCTGGACCTGGATGGTTAGAGGTAATTTTCTTTTCTGTTTGTTTTTTAATCCCTCTCTTATGTGCCCGAACTGGGAATTGAACCTGCAACCTAGATATGTGCCCTAATTAGGGATCAAACCTGCAACCTTTTGTGGCACAGGACAACACACCAACCAACTGAGCCACTCACCCAGGGAAAGGTGGTTTGCTTTTTTAAAACCTTTTTCTTGAACTATAACATACATGCAACAAAAGGCCACATAAGTTAATAGATTTTCATAAACCTACACACCCATATAACCAGCACCCAAATTAAGAAATAAATCATTTCCAACATCCCAGAAGTCCCCCACCCCTCCTCCTCTCTGTGTAGTCACTTCTCCCTTCCTCGAGAGGGCAACAACCACTTCTAATAGCCTGATTTGTTTTGCCTGTCTCTGTGCTTTATATAAATGGAGTCTAACAGATATACTCAGATGTTTGCTTTTTAATTGCTCTATGACCAAATGTTTGATGTACTTTTCTATATGTACAATGAATTGCAAAAATGTTTAAAACTACCAACTAATATCCGTGCTCTGACAATTCCAAAGTAGAGAATTTAAAGAAAATATGGTGATGAGGCTCATGAGAAAAATAATAGCAGCTAACATATCTTGGGAACTATGCCCAGGATTTTACATGCAATAACCTTAATCCTCGGATCATCCCAGGTGTAGGGAGTATTAGCATCTCCATTTTACAGGTGAGAAAACTGAGGCTCTGAGAGGCAATGTAGGAAATCTGCCAGACTTCAACACCCAAGTTCTTTATGGCTGGACTAGGCTGGCAGGAGGCCAAGATACAGAGAGGAGGGGGGCAGGCCTTGAGCAGGGCCAGCCCCACCTCCACATTCCTCAGAGTACAGCTGTTCCTGCCTGTGACAGGCCCTCCCTCCCCCATCTCATCTACCCCCACCAAGGTCACACCTCAAAAAGGGCAATGGGGAGAAGGGACCCCGAAAAGAAGGCCACAGACTCACCCATAGTCACTGAGACCATTGTCACCCTGGCCCTGATGCTGCTCCCTGGAGCCTGGAAGAAAGAACAAGGGGAGAGGGCCCATGAGTTGCCACCGGCTGTGGGTGTATGTCCCTCTCTTGCTGCCTATCTGTCTGCCAGAGGAGAGTTCCTGGACTAGGGGCTCAGAGCCCAGGAATAGCCTGGAGCAGCTGGCAGGAAGTCAGCCTGGGACAGAGCTGCCACCATAACTATCACTTCTGCCTGGGACAAGGCCCAGGGACAGCAAATGTCCACAGATCCATTCCCACACACCTCAAAAGTTTCTAGCTGGAATAAGAGAGGGACAGAAAAAAGACACCCCCTGCCCAAAACTTTAACCACAAATATTCATTCATTCAAAACTGTTTTTTTAAAAAATGTATTTATTTGTAGAGAGAAGGGAAGGGAGGGAGAGAAAAAGAGGGAGAGAAACATCAATGTGTGGTTGCCCCTCGCATGCCCCCTACTGGGGATGTAGCCCGCAACCCAGGCATATGCCCTGACTGGGAATCGAACCAGCGACCCTTTGGTTCGTGGGTTGGCGCTCAATCCATTGATCCACACCAGCCAGGTATCGAAAACTGTTCACTGAGCACCTACTATGTGTGAAGCACTATTCTAGGATCTAGGTATACTGAGGTGAACACAAACACAGAGCTTGGCATCTAGGTGAGGACAGGGAAGAGGGGGACACAGAGAGTAAGCAAGCAAAGAGTTAATAATGCAGTGTGTCAGAAAGCCTTTAGTGTCATGGAGAAAACATGGAGGGCCTAGGAAAGAAAGAGCTGCAATTCTAAATAGGGTGATCAGGTAAGACCCCTCTAAAGTGACGTTCAGAGACCCAACAGAGGAGGAGGAGTGAGCTATGTGGCTTTACAGAAGTGTTCCAGAGAAGGTATAGTAAGTCCGGTGCTTGGAGCCAGGAGCCCATCTGGCATGTTTAAGGGACAGCAGGAGCCAGCGTGGCTGCAGCAGAGTGAACGAGGAGAGTGAGAGGTGACAAGACCAGAGAGGTGGGGCACCAGGTCATGAGGGGCTTCAGAGAAGAAATGAAGAGCCAATTTTCACTTACAAGATTAGCAGGTTCTAGAAAGGTGTTAGACATTAGCACCAATGAAGACTTTCTCCTGGACATTAATAGCAGCACTGGAAGGAAACTAAAGGAAGTAACTTTCTCTCCTGATGATTCAATGCTATCTGACTCCAGGACCATCTGTCCCACGCTGCCCTGGCCCAAACTTCCCACTAAGCTCTCATGCTCTTCTCGGGCACTGGCATCTCCTCCATTCCCTCTGCTCTCATCCTTCACTCTGCTCCCTGCCACCCATCCCAGCCCCTCATCCTGATCTTCGCCCTCACCCCTCCTCCATCTCCTCTATGGGATGCAGAAGGCCCTCTATCCAGCACACACAATCTGCTCCCCAACCCTGCCCTGGCATTTTGATGGAATAACAGAAGCAGTATAAGAGTAACAACTCTGGAGCCAGACTGCAGGGTTCAAATCTGGCTCTACCACTTATTAGCTTTGTGGCCTTGGCAAATTACTTTACCAGTCATGCCTCAGTGTCCCCATCTATAAGCTGCGATGTATAAACATTACTACCTTAGAGAAATGTTGTGAGGGCACATGAGTTTCTATGTACAAAGCACCTGAGACACTGTCTGGTGCACACCAAGTACTCGACAAGTGTGGGCCATTCTTACCCTCTTCCCCAGCCTTCTACCCCAGCCTTCCCTCTAATACACAGGGGCTTTGCCTGCCTCCCAGTTTTCACACAGAATGTTGCTTGTGCCTGGAATGCTTATCTCCTCCTGTTCCTCTGGCAAGGCCTTCTTCACTTTGCTTAGCTGCCACCTGCTTTGTAAGCTTCCCCTAAGTCCACATGTGAGATTCTGTCCTCTGCCCCTGGCTAGGACTCATCCTGCCTTTCACCAGCTTTTGTTGCATCACTTATTGAGGAACATGACCACAAAACATCATTCCACCTACTTTCTTGATTCTCTAAGACCCACGTTCCCTCCTGGATTTTACTGCTGGACAAAGACAATACAACTGCATCTTTTAAAGGGTAGGGCATAGAGAGACTTCGACAAGCCAGAGAGAACAACATTCTACATACCAAGCACTAACTATGCACCAGACCAGAGCCAGGCATCATGCTGATGCCTCACAAACTCCTCAGGAGCGAAGACTATTATTAGCCCCATTATAATAAATGGAAAAAAAAACCCCCAAAAACCTCACTGAGGTGCAATCATCTGCCAAATGCCACAGCTAGCCAGTGGCTTTACTGAGATTCAAAAACAAGTTCTCCCTGATTCCAGCGCCCATGCAGCAGCTCCTATTGAATGTTTATATGCCAGGCACTGAGCATATACACCCCTCAGTGACTCCTCACAACCACAGGGAAAGAAAGTAAGAATGATCCCCATGTTACGGATGAGAGTGGCAGGTACAAGGTCACACAGTAACTGCAAAGCCAGGAATTGAACCCGAGTGAGTCCAGTGGCTATGATTAATGCTGGTCAAGGGATTACGAAGAGCCAAGCACTGTGATCTGTTTTTGCAAGGTTTCAGTTAATGCTTACCAGAAGCCTTTAAGTACTGTTATCCTCCTACAGCTGCAGAATTCCCTGCTGAACTCAGTATTCTTTCTCCACCATTAAAAGCCCATCTCCAGCGCTGGCTCTCTGAACAGTGAAAATTATAACGTTAATAATAATGGAAAAATGACTACTCCCAAAACTCAAGTAATTACCATGTACCAGATGCCCTGTGCTAAGCCCAGCTTACTACTTCCCAACTCTTGACTCTGGGGTAAGTGGCTTAACCTTTCTGGATTTCACTCCCCTCAGTTGTAAAATAAGAATGATAGGAGTACCTAAAGAAGTTAGAGGGAGTAAGGGAGTTCATAAATGCCAAGCCCTTAGAAAAGTGCTCAGTATGTGATATATGTGCATTAAGTAAAATAAATGAATCTTAAGTGAGCTAGGGAAGGGGTAGGACAGTCACTGACTTATGTCAGCTGTATGCAAAGTGTGAGCAGGGAGCGGAGTACAAAGTAACTTGATGGGGTCCATGGGACCTGATAACACAGGATCACATAGTACAAATTATTCTCTTTCAATTTCTGTCTACAGTTTTTATTTTATTATTTTACTCCTCACCTGAGAACATAATCATTGATTTTAGAGAGGGGAGGAGAGGAGGAGGAGAGAGGCAGACAGACATTGATGTGAAACATCAGTTGCCTCCCACATGTGCCCCGACCAGGGATGGAACCTGCAATCCAGAATGAACCCTGACCAGGGATCGAACCTGCAACCTTTTGGTGTACAGGATGACACTCCAACCAAAAGAGCCACCTAGCCAGGACTCTGTCTACAGTTTAACAGACTGTTATGCTCTCACTGTATTTCAGGTTGTGTTCTTTCTCATGGCCATCCAGGCCAGTTTTCATTAAGATAGCAAATAATTTTTCCTTCTCAAATTAACTGACTGTAGGAAAATGCATCAGTAGTTATAAAGAAAAGAAAAAAAAAATCACAGGATTTGGAAAAATTGGCCAAATAATAAGTGGTGGGATGTTGCTCTCCCTGAGTCCAGACTCCAAGTTTCTCCTATCGCTGTTTTTGAGCTTCCTCCTTTCCCCTGCCTCTTTGCAAGTTCCAACTACACCAGTGACTCTCGGAATCATTATTATAATAGTCTCAGTCTAATAAGCTCCTACTCATTACTGTGCCAGGCCCTGTGCTAAGGACTTTACACGCACAGTTCATCGGCATCCTCATAAGGACCCTATGATATTGGGACTATTAGCACACATTGTATAAATAGGTAAAATGAGGTTCAGAATGGTGAAGGTACAGGCCCACTGTCACGAAGTGGAGCTGAGACTTGAACCGAAATCTATTGGATTCCAAGTCCAACCATCTTTCACGCTCCCACACCCAGATATTCCAGGCCAAGCACAAACAGCATCATCAGTACTAACAATAACAGTTCAATAACGAGTGAGCACTGTGCCAGGCTCTGAGCGAGGGGCTCCGACATGCACGAGCTGAATTCTCACTCCAACCCATGAGGAGGAATCTATAGTCGGTTTATGACCCCCCACTCTACAGAGGAAGAAACTGAGGTTCAGAGAAAGAAGTCGCTTGTCCCGGGCTGCACAGCAGCATCAGAACTGATTCCGGAGCCCCAAACGCCATCCATCCCCACCGTTTCCGGCCCAGTCCCACCTCCCCCGGCCCGCGCCTCACCTGGCCCTCCCGGCCCACGCTCGCTCGCGCAGCCCGCCCCCCCCTCCGGGCGGAACCAACTGTCAGACCACCCCCTCCCTTGGCCTGGAAGCCCGTCCCGGAAGCACCGCCCCCGCCTCCGGAAGCCGGGCTGACACTCCCGCGACCGCTCTAGCCGTCCGGACCGCCACCAACGAGAGTGAGGCTACAGCTGCCACTTGAAAGCTCATAGTCACCCAGGCGCTTCCCTCCGCCCTGCACTAGCGAAGAGTGCGGCCAATCAGAAAGGCAAGGTCCGGCCCCCGCCCCCCGCCCAAACTTGCAGTCCAGCCCGAGGGCGCGTGCGCGCGGCGGGGGTGGTCGGGCCCAGCTCCAGTTTAGAAGGTGCGTGCGGGGCTGGGTCCCGGAGTGGGAGACTTGGAGTGCAGGTACTGTGCGATCTGGGGGCGCGGCGCCTCGGCTGCCCTCCTTGTGTTGTCACCTCCTGTCTGATGCGTCTCTACCCCATGTCGTTCTCTGTTCCTTTATGTCTCCATTCCTCCCTTCACATCGTATCCCGCTTAAATCGTCACCGTTCCCCTTCAGTCGCGATCACCCTTCTTTCGTTGCCATCAAGCCCCTTAACTCTCTTTTGTCCCCTTTAAGCCCCCATTGCCACCATAGGTCGCAATTGCCCCTTTTAAGTCGTCATCGCCTTCTTATGTCACTTGCACCCATCTTTTGTTGCTATTTATCCCTTATGAACTCCTCACTTCTCATATCCGTCATTATACACCATGTCACCTTCGCACGCCTCCTGTCACCCTCTCCTTAAATCAATTTCCTGTTCCCCCTATGTTATCCTCACCGCTATGTCACTATTCCTCCCATGTCACCTTTGCTCCTCTGGCTGTCACTGTCCACGCCTCGTGCTTCTAGTTTTCCTGTAAGGAGCTACCCTGCCTCACAGGTTTTTTCCCTCCACATCTCTGTCATTCGGCTGTGTCACTCCTCACATACTCGCCACCATTTGGGGTGGAGCCCATTACCTGGTGTGTGCCAGAATCCCAGTGCCACCACTAAACCTCTGGGTAACCTTGACTACCTAATCACACCTTTGCGATCTAAGCTTCCTCATCTATGAAATGTACACAGGACACCTACATCAGGGGTGATTGTGAGGATTCTGCCAGTTTATGCTTGTGTTATGTCCAGTTTGACATGGTGATTTGGGCTGGTATTGTTATTAACCATGCCATTCCCATCCTCATCCAATCACCTTCATCACCTCCTCATTGTCACTCTTCCCCTCCCCCTTTTCATTGTTGCTGTTGCCTCAGTCTCTCCACGTTATCATGGTACTCTCTGTGGTGGCAGCCACCCCACATCACGATCTCCATATTGTCTTCACTTCTGCCACATCACTACACCTGAGGGAGAAGCTCATCAGCCATCACAAACCTTGCTCATGTAAGCAGTTAATATCTATCTCTTTACCTTGTTGGATTGAGTGATCTACACCCCAAAAATGAGGGCATTTAAATGGTGCTGAGGTGGGAGTTGAGAAGGGTTTGGTGGTGGGGAGACTATAGGTGGCTTAGACCCAGAGCTCCCTTGACTTCTAGAATTGAGGGTACGGAGAGATGAGGCAGGCCCGACCACACCTCGGTTAAACTGCAGCAACCCTGAATCCCCAGGTGGAATGGTGAGTGTCTTAGATACTGAGCTTGCGTGCACGAGGCAGTGTAGGACAGTGGTTAGCAGTGTGTACCTGAGGGCTGGAACACCCTGGTTCCAATCTTGATTCTTGCATTGGTGCTTAAATAGTTGCGTAACCTTGGGCAGGCGGCTTAATGTGCCTGTGCCTCAGTTGCTGCACCTGCAATATAGGAATGAAAACACAAGTTATTCACTCAACATCTGTTTAGAAAGCATGTTTTATATTCCCAGCCCTGTGCTAGGCTCCAGGGACACTTGGGTGAACAAACCCAGAGATCCCTGGCCTCATGGAGTTTACATTCTAGCAGGGACAATTAGTAAACAGGTAAGTGAAGTATAGGATATGTTAGGAGGGGGATGGGGACTGCATGATAAGGGTTGTAGTTTTAAAGAAGGTGGTCAGAACAGGTTTTCTGAGATGGTGACTATTGAACAAGACCCGAATTAGGGGAGAGAGTGATGTGGCTGCTGGGGGGAAGAGCGTTCTAAGCAGAGAGAATAGCAAATGCGGAGGCCCTGAGGGAGGGACATAGAATATTTAGAAATATTTAAGGGGTAGAAATGAGGCCAGTGAAGGAGGAGAAGGCTGGGGGATGAGGTCAGAGGAGTGATAGAGGAAGATCAGCTGGGGTCTCATGGGCCATGGAGAAGACATTAGCTTCACTCTGAGTGAGGTGAGCAGGAGCCACTGGAGGATTTGGAGAAGAGGGACGCCATTTGATGTGACATGATGTGACCCAAAGCAGCAGCAGCTCCAGAACTACCAAGGATGGCTTGGCGAGATCAGCCTGGTCAGAAGGAGAGCGAGAGTCCTGTTCTTAAAGCTGCACTAATATATCCTTTGTATTTAGAGAAAGCTTCAAATGCCCCTCTCAAAGGCTGGGATGGAAAGGGAATATTGTTAGTTTTTGAGAGGTCAAAACCACCTTTGGGCTCATCTGCTGTTGGGGAAGGAGGAAGGGAGAGCAGCTTCAGACCTACAGATAAGAAAAACAGGAGAGGCAGCTGTCTACCCCTGGGACCCTAAGCAGCTTGGGTTCAAATCCTGGCTCCATTGTTTCCTAACTGTTCCTTTGCGCTAATGACTTAACCTCTCCGGGTGTTTAGTTCCCTTATCTGTTAAGTGGGACCGAAAAAAGAAAGGGGGGGGGGGGCGCGTTCTGATAATTAAATATATAAAGTGCTTCAATCAGTGCCTGGTTCAATAAAAATAAGGAACTTGACCTGCCCGCCCCACATCCTGCACTTTCAGGGGCTCAGGCCTCCCTCCAGGAGGCAAGGAAAAGATGCTCCGCCTTATTCTGTGTTCACAGGTGGGTTCGTCAGTGCAGTGTCCTGGAACAGAACTGAGCCCTGCATTCAAATTCCCTGCCAACAAACCCAACACTATGCAAGCTGGGCTGCGATTTCTCTGAGCCCTGCCCTGCATCTGAAAAACAGAGATAATGATGCTTTGTTGCCCCAGATGTGTTATATTTGAATTCAGATACCCACCATTTTCCATTCTGATGCCACTATCACTCTCCCCTGCTTTCTTTTTTCTCCATGGCACTGTCTCTGTTTCACTCATTTCTCTGTTGTCTCATTCCCCCCCAAAAATGCTGTTTTACCAGGGATTTTTTTTTTCCTGTTCTGTGCCATATCTCCAGTTTCTAGACAGGGCTTGTCAGCAAGCAGTCACTGAATAAATACAAGATGAATAACTAGATGAATGAACTGGCCACTGAGCACCTGCCATGTACCATCCCTGTGCTGGGTGGTAATAGAGACAGAAGTGACTGAGACAGCCCAGTCCTGCCCTCATAGGTTTCACAGTCCAGTGAGAGAAACAGATCCATCCTCAAACAGTTACAGCCCAGAGCGGTCAGGGCTGGGATGGAGAAGCTCAGGAGACTGTCAGAGCCCAAAAGGGGTACCTGAACCACCTGGGGGGTGAGAGAGGGCTTCCTGGAGTACACGGTACATGAGCTGATAGGAATAAGCAAGATGAAGAGGAGAGAAAGGTATGTTAGGCAGGAGCAGAAGCTGTAGGAGGGTTGGTGGTAAAAGTGTGGTTTCAGTTCAAGGAACCAAAAGATATTAAAAATGGCTGGGACATAAAGGGCGGTGAGAGTAAGTTATTAGGGGAAGGTCTTTCAGGGCTCTGGGGTCCACAGTGAGGAGCTGAGACTTTGTCCTGAGGGCACTGGGGGGCCACAGATGGAGGACAAGTCAAACTGAGATGGAGGGGGGACTGGAAGGATTGAGTGAAGGCTGGGAGCCGAAGGAGGTGGCTGGAGAATCCAGGTTGAGGTCACGGGAGAGAAAAAGAGTGGATGGGATAGACCCTCAGGAGGCCAGGTGGGCACATGGCGGGGCCCAGGGTGAGGCCCAGTTCTTCCAGGGAGTCAGGTTGGGCTTTCTGAAGGAGGTGGCGCATAGGCTGAGACCTGAAGGATAGATAGGACAGCTGTCTTTGAAATGGGAACTCAAGGGAGGAGTAAATTTGGGAGAGATGCTAAGGACATTTGGTGATATAGGGGGATAGGGGACACCTTGGGGAGGCGTCTAGGAGGCCATGGGACTTCCAGACCTGGAGTTCAGGGAGGAGGTGGGAGTTGGAGGAGGTGGGAGCTGGCTTTGAAGCCAGAAAGGAGAACTGAACCTGCAGTGGTGGGGAAGGTCCACAGGGCCTATCCATGTAGGGCCCTCGGGAACATGAGGAGAAATTTGTACTTTGTCCTGAAGGCAATGGAGACCCACAAAGGGGTTTTGAGGAGGAAAGGGACAGCCTCAGATTTTTGCATTCCAAATCAGAAGCATTCACCATTCATGATGGTTTGTTTTTTTTAACTTATTTAATTGTTTTTCAGACTAAGCATCTTCTCTCTCCAGAAGGGGCACCTTCTAGGGAGGGATCCTTTGAAATAAAGATTCTACTGCTAAAAACAAAAACAAAAAAGTTTACAAAACCAGTGCTCTGTTCTGTTTTCTATAGACTTAAACACAGACAATTGGTTGTTCAGTCCACAGTATCTGCGCAGTTACAGGAAAATTGGCTCCTTTAAACATGAGAACATTTTGGTTTTGAACCATATGGAAGGTCCATGGGTTTGTGAATGTTTCCTGTGGCGTGGCCTGTCCAGCGCTTCCCATGCGCTTCAGCAGCTAATCGGCCCGTGCCCTTCTTTGCACTCGCAGATGGCTCGGACCAACTTGGAATCAGCCGTGAAGCTTACTCTCAGGCTGAGATGCCATTATCTGCTCCTACCCCATCCACTCTGGGCTGAGAACACAAGCTAGTTATCATTGTGTATAAAATAAGCATCATTAGGTCTAGAGAGACAGCTAAGGAAGTCTTTTCTCAAAAGTGGCCATTCTACTCCATTCTGTTTTTAACAGACATTTCTTGAGTGTACAATGTGCTGGGCACTGGAGGGGGTAGAGGAATAAACCAGATACACACTTAACTTTTCAAGGGACACAGATTATCTGTGATAAACTAAGGGACATACAAATCTCACCAGCCAGCTTGTATCGGAAGTTTACTGTGCCACCTACCTGCCTTGGATGGTTTCATTTACTTCCCAGCAAATGTGAGGATGCTATATGTCTCCCGTTGTTCTGAGAATGAAAGTGAGGCTCAGAGAGGGGAGCCTCTTTTTCTGGTGACACACAGAGCTGAGAACCTGAATACAGGGCTGTGGGACTTGGAGACACTTCCCCATATTCCATTCGGAGATCCCCCAGACAGTGTATAAAACTGCAAGATGATTCCCGTTTTATAGATGAGGCCAGCAGGGCTTGGAGAAGTATAAAGCCCCATGCCTGCAGTGACTCACTAAGAAGTGACAGCGCAGGATTTGAACCTGGACTCTCCAATCCAAAGCATCGCTGTGGAGGAGAGATCAAATCTCCCCCAAACCACCACCCTCACCCAGCAGTGAGGTGTTCAGGGAGCTCTCTCAACTTGTGTCTTAAAAGCACAGTGGGTTTTGCTTCCTCCTCTTCTGCGGTCTGTGGTGTCACACAAGCAAAGAGAACATAGGTCAAGGGGACAGGGAGATTCTGCGAGGAACACTTGGCAGAGGTGCAAGGAAGCCGAGCACAAGGACCAGACTGGGCATTGCACTGGAGCCCCGTGGGGCCTTCTAGGAACCTGGGAACACAGAGGATGAGCTAGGGACAATGCCAACCCTGCTTTGTCAGCTTGCTGCTCTAGCCCACCTGCCCTGCTCCCCCGAGGGATCTGGGGATGGGGAGTGCTGGATACTTCTCCAGCTGACGTCACAGTCCTTATCTGGAGACTGGGATGTGGGTGAAGGGGCACTCCAGCTAGAAGCCTGAGTCTCAAAATTGAATTTCCATTAAAGTCCTATGTGCCATTTAAAAATTAAATAGTAACTGAAAAGCAACCATCTTAGCTGGAGTTGAGATGAGAATGATGCCTTTTTTCCTTTTCTTTTTGGCTGTTAACTGTGACACAGTCATATTTATTGAGAACCCCTTGCATGCCCATTCTGTGCAGTTGATAATGTATTAATCTAATCCTTTAGTTCCAAGGATCCACCTGGATGGATTTCAGACATCTCAAAATTTATATGTTCAAAACACTACATTTATTGATACTTTTAAATTTTTATTTATTGATTTTAGAGATTGGAAGGGAGAGAGAAACACCAATTCCTTGTTCCACCCATTTATGCATTCATTGGTTGACTCCTGTATGTGCCCTGACTGGGGATCAAACCCACAACCTTTGTGTATCCGGACAATGCTCCAACAAACTGAGCTACCCGGCCAGAGCTATTGATTGATTGATTGATTTTAGAGTTAGAGAGAGAGAGACGTCGATTTGTTGTTGATTTGTGGCATTCATTAGTTGCTTCTTGCATGTGTGCAGATAAGGGATTGAACCCACAACCTTGGCCTTAGAGGATTCTGCTCTAATCACCTGAACTATCTGGCCAAGGCCATTTACTTATCATCTATGAATTAATTAATTCTTTCTTTGTTCCTGCTCTTTCCCCCAACTTGCTCCTTCTGAGCCTTTCCCAGCTCAGCTATTGGCACCTCCATCCTTAAATTGCGCAGGCCCAAATCCATATAGTCAACCTCAATTACTTCCTTTACCTGGAATCCGCATCCAGTCTGATTCGAAATCCAATGGGCTCCACCTTCAAAATGTAACCAGACTCCATCCAGTCTTCCCCCCTTGGCTGCCCCCACCCTTGATTCTGTCTACACTATCTGTACCCTGGTTTCCCTGTTCCAGCCTCTAAACCGCCCCCCTTCCCCAAGTCTGTTTCCCACACAGCCAGGCAGAGCCTGCAAACACCTGTATTAGTTCCCTATGGCTGCTGTAACAAGTCACCACAACCTGGGTGGTTTAAACAACAGAAGTTTATGCTCTCACATTCTGGAGGCTAGAAATCCAAAATGAAGGTGTTGGCCCAGTCATGCTCCCTCCAGAGGCTCTGAGGAAGATTCTGTTCCCTGCCTCTCCCAGAATCTGGTGGCTCTGGGCTTAAGTAGGATTTCAGACAATCACTCCAATCTCTGCCTCCCTGGCCACGTGGTTTTTCTGTCACTTAAAGATACTTGTCCGTCCTTGGATTTAGGGCCCGCCCAGATAATCCAGGATGAGTTTATCTCAAAATCCTTTATTTGATTACACTGCATTTTTCAATTACAGTTTACACTCTGTGGTGGCTGGTGTGGCTCAGTGGGTTGAGTACCAGTCTGAGCCGGAGGGTCCCGGTTCAGTCCCTGGTCAGGGCACATTCCTGGGTTGTGGGCCAGGTCCCTGGTTGGGGGAGTATGAGAGGCAACCAATCAATGTATCTCTTGCACATTGCTACTTCCCTCTCTTCTCCTCTCTATAAAAGTAAATAAATAAAATCTTCAATTACAAGTTACACTCAATATTATTTGTTATTAATTTCAGGTGTATAGCATAGCGGTTAGACAATCATATACTTCACAAAGTGGTCCCCCTGATATTTCCAGTACCCACTGGGTACCATACATAGTTATTACAAAACTACTGACTATATTCTCTATGCTGTACTTTACATTCCCGTGACTATTTTGTAACTACCAATTTGTCATCCAGTCCTCCCACCCCTATCCCTTCTGGCAACCATCAGTCTGTTCTCTTTAAGGACCCTTTTTCTAAATGCCACACTCACAAGTTCCCAGCGTAATGCCCACATCGGACATACCTTTTTTGAGGCTATCATTCAACCCACCACAATGCAGATCACATCCCTCCTCTGCCCAGAACCTACCCGAAGCCCCATCCTCACCACAGCCCTGGATCTGCTCCTGTCACCTCCCAGACTCATCTCCTCTCCCTCTCCTGTATGTCCAGCCTGCTGAAGACACTGGCCTCCTTGCTTTCCCATTTCCACACCGGGCACACTTCTGCCTCAGGGCCTTTGCACTGGCCTTCCCTCTGCTTGGAACACTCTTTCCTAAGGATGTCCATTGGCTCCCTTCCTCCCCTCCTTGAAGTTTTTTCTATTAGGTATCCCTTCTCAATGAGGACTTCCCTGACTTTAATTAAAATTGCAAACAAACCCATACCCCGCCCTTACCTTGTCCCTCTTCCCTGATTTTCTATAGTGCTTATTGCCTTCTAACATATAATTTACTTATTTTGTTTTTTTGTCTGTCTTCATATCCCTTTTGATCACAGTGGTATCCCCAGTGCTTAATAAATATGTGTAAAATTCATGAACAGCCTTGTGAAAAACAAGTGCTATCATTACCATGCCCATTTTGCAGATGGGGAAGCTAAGGCACAAATGCATTGCCATTTTTCAAGGTTAACTGGTCACATAAGTGTGGAGGCTCATTTTCAGTTTGGACATCTAGCTCTGGAACCCACCTCTCCAGTACTCGTGTTCTTTTTAAACACCTTAGGTGTATTACTTTGATGAAAATACAACAGACATTAAAATTAAACCCCTCATTACAGACCTTGTAATCACTATACAATTTGAAAGCCAAAAGGTCACTAACAATTTCAATGAACCCCTTCTGTTTTCCTCCTTTTTTTGGTTTATTAGCCGGCATCTTCAGTTCTCCAGCCTCATTCATCCCTCACCTCTCTGAGTCTTGCTGCTCCCTCACTTTGGCTCTGGTTCATCTCAGCTTCCCTAATTTCACATCTGCTATTCCAACCCCTTATTCTCACTCAGTACAACATTTCCCACCAAGGCCTTCACAAATAAAAGGTGAAAGTTTCCTGCCCCGCATCCCCCTCCCCCACCCTGAAACCCTGCTGCCAACCACCTCTAAGACTGTTATCTCTGTGTTATCTTCTGCTTCTGGAGACCTACGGTGTTGCAAATAACCGTGGTCTGTTGCTATTTCTTGCTGGATCCTTTTGCCCCATCTTCCCTGCAGGGAGAGGAGGGGTCTAGCTGAGCTCTGCCCTCCCCAGTCTGGAATCCTGAAAATAGTCCTGACCCACCCCCGAGTCCCACCGTCGAGCCAACCACTTATGACACTGTTGCTCCTCTCAACAGTAATACGTTTCAGCATTTATCTTTTAACTTTCTGCCTGGTTCAGGGGAATGGGGTCCTGCCCCTCTTTCACTGAGAGACATGGGTGGGGGCTGGTTCTCCAATTTATATTTGCAGTTGTGGCCCGAAAGCCTGCGTGGGAGATAGGAGACCCAAGGTGGGAAACCCAACCTAACCCTCCAGACTGACCCTGGGTTCCGGAAACAAATTTTTAAAAATCCCTATCAGTTGGGGTTAAAAAAATAAAAGTCAAATATTCCAGCAGAAAACCCATCTTCTCCTTCCCCCATCCAGCTCTTCCCTGCTCAGAGCGTGGGCTGTGTCTTCTGCTGATTTTATCGCTGCATCTTGAAATCATCTTATGCAACCTTGATGTCTCCATTTAATTGTATAAGTTTTTAAATCATTAATTTAATTTATGTATTTATTTTTGACTAGGCAATGCATGTCCGCGATACAAAAACTCACAAGGTTTGTAGACGAGAAAAGATGTCGGGTCCCATTTTTTTCCTTATCTGTGGCTTCCCTACCCAGCACGGTGGCTCTGGGGTGGGGCGTGGCAAGGCCCATGCCCTAGCCGTGTCCGCTCCCCACCCGGCCAGGTGGGGCCCCCGCCCCCACCTGAGAGGCCAAACCTCTACTCCCTGCGGAGGGCCGGGGCGGAGCAAGGGCCGCGCAAGCTCCCTGCTGCAGGAGCGATAGGCGGAGCCTCCTCGGGCCCCCGCCCCCTTCCACTCGCCCCTGCTCAGCCTGTTGAGGCAGAAGCAGGGGCCCCGCGGAGGGAGCAGCTGCCGTTTGCTGACCAAGGCCGAGGCCCCTCCGGGATAGGGTAGGAGGTTGGCTGGGGGAGATGGGCTGGGAGCTGGCGGGGAGGCCCGGAGGGTCCTGGGCTCCCGGGCTGTTCTGTCTGGTGGGTACCTGAGGGTGAGGACAGGGGAGTCACCTGGAAAATGCCCCCGGCTTGGGTTGTCCCTGGGCTGGGAAAAGCCAGGCACAAAGATTTGGGGTTCCGCTGAGCCCATTTGGAGCTGTCCCTTTGGGAATGTCTCTATTATAACGCAGAGAAAGGAAGGTGCTAATGGGGAGCAGGGTGGGCGCTAAGGGGGAGCCTTAAAAGGGCGGGGTGGCTACCACAGATTGTTGGGGAGAAAGGAGAGGCATTACAGACTGAGGGATTTCAAAATCCCTGCTGACCAGCCATCTGCTTCCTCCTTTTGGAGTGGCGGGCGCGGTGCCAGTGGCCCCGTGATCACGGACAAGAGACCCAGTAGGTCTCGTGAGCCCCGAGACCGATCTGCCTTCGATGATGTTCCCCAAAAGCCCGGAACATCCCCACACAGTGCCAGCTTTTGTTCCCACAGTTTGGAGACCCTGACACACCCACTTTCCCACCTGCGCTCTGCGTGCCCCCCGGCTGCCTGGCAAGATGAAGCCTAAGCTGATGTATCAGGAGGTAGGTGGGTGGGGCCCCAGTGGGGAAGGACTGGGTACAGTGGAGAGTCGGGGTTCCCCCGGCACCCTCAACCATCCCCATTGTTCCCCAGCTGAAGGTGCCTGCTGAGGAGCCCACCAGTGAGCTGCCCATGAATGAGATTGAGGCATGGAAGGCTGCTGAGAAGGTAGGAGTCCTCTGCACCCCCTTAGTCTGTCTCAGAGCATGGGCTGGGCTGCCCAAGCTGGGCTGGCTGACTGCCTCTTCCTCCCCACAGAAAGCCCGCTGGGTCCTGCTGGTCCTTATCCTGGCCGTTGTGGGTTTTGGTGCCCTGATGACTCAGCTGTTCTTATGGGAATACAGCGACTTGCATCTCTTTGGGCCCAACCAGCGCCCAGCCCCCTGCTATGACCCCTGCGAGTAAGTGAGGGACCTCAGATTGGGGGAAGGGGCCCTGACAGGCCAGGACACAGACACAACAGGCAGGGCTTGCGCTTGGTGTCACTCAGGGCTCATAACAGGTTCTTCCCTCTGTGACCCCATCCCCCAACACTGTTCCCATGGCAGCCACAGCATCATCTTCTATCCAGGTCTGTGAAGCGACAGGCACACACAGACACACATGGCATCTTCCATCCACATCTGTGGACAAGCACTCACACAGACATCCGCACCATTTTTTTGTACCTCTAGATAGACAAATGCATGAACTCAGAGAATCATGAATACAGGCATACACAGTACACAGACTTTCATCCTCCGTGGTCAGACAGGTGAGTGCTCACATCCCAGCTGGCAGTCTCCAGCCCCCTATGGCTAATATCGTCCCCTCCATACTACAGAGCAGTGCTGGTGGAGAGCATCCCCGAGGGCCTGGACTTCCCCAATGCCTCCACTGGCAACCCATCCACCAGCCAGGCTTGGCTGGGCCTGCTCGCCGGGGCCCACAGCAGCCTGGACATCGCCTCCTTCTACTGGACCCTCACCAACAATGACACCCACACTCAGGAGCCCTCTGCCCAGCAGGTACCTGGTAACCTGGGCCCTGGCAGACGGGGGTGGTAGGAGGCATTGGGGAGGGGATGGGAGCAGTTTCTCTGCAGTCCTGGAGACAGGTAAGCATGTCTCACACAGCAGGTTGGACACAAGTGTTTGGAAACAACTGTTCAGATGGCCCTCTGGATCGGGGGCGTTTCTCATGGTCATCTGGAGGCCTCTAAATGTCGAGTATGGGTTTGTTTGCGAGGGATTAGGCTGGCAGATGCTGCTCGCCCACTAGCTGCCTCGACCCTGTCGCACCAAGAAATGGAAGAGTGGAGTGCGAAGCAGCCCAGCCTCTAGCCAGGCTTTCGCTTCCCAGCTGTGTGACCTTGGGCAGGTCACTTCACCTGTCTGGCCTCAGTTTTCTGGTCTGTGGAATGGGGCCAGTATTTAGCACCCACCCCTGTGAGAATGAAATGGGCCAATCCATGCAAATTATAGCGTGGTGCCTGCCACAGTAAGCCATTTGTAAGCATTTGTTATTATATTCTTGTTATGCCTGCAGACAAACTTACAAACCATAAAGCTTCAAAGTTTGGAAAGGAACAGTTTAGGTGGATCACCCCTTCATTGAAAAACACAGGTTTCCCTTCTTTTTTCCACTCTGCTGCCTCTTTCTGTGAGAAGGGGGCTTAAAATTTATGAACATTGTGAGGCTCGTTAAACACTGACTGAAAAAAATTACAAAATTTAAAATGGTAGGAGCTTGTACTCCCTGCTGGCTCCTCCCAGAGTGCTTCAAAGTACAGACAAAGGAGGCACACAGTCTGGGTGCAAATCCTGCTTCACCATTAAATCCTGCACTCAGTTTCCCTGTCTGCACCTCTGGGATTTTACTGTGACCGCCTCATCAATGAGAGTGGTGAGAATCGATGAGTTTAGATGTGAAGGGGCTTAGAACAGACCCCCTCACAGTAGGAACCGGGGAATCATGGCTGTTACTGTTACTGGCATCATCAAGCCTCACCAGTACCCTCCTGGACCCCCAGCCCAAGCCAGTCACACCCCCAATATCCTGTAAGGTGCCCGGAGGCCCATGGAGGCATTGACACCTCCAAGGTTGGGTATTGAGAAGGTCCCTGGAAGGGTAGGAGTGACAGTGAGGCCCTGGCAAGGCTCAGAGTGGACAGGTATTAAAACAGGTGAAGGTTTTAATAGCTTAACCTGTAAAACCATTCCAGGCATACTGGCTAATGTTAAGTTTGCTCATTCCTAATCTCATCTGGAAGCCCAATCTCAAAACAGCCCCATGGGGGTGCTGCATGGTGTTGGAGAGATGGTTAGCCCAACCCCTCAGAGGCTCTCCTCTCCCCGCAGGGCGAGGAGGTCTTTCAGCAGCTCCAGGCCCTGGCGCCTCGAGGTGTAAAGGTCCGCGTTGCTGTCAGCAAGCCCAGCGGGTCCCAGTCCCAGGCAGACCTGCAGGCCCTCCTGCAGAGTGGTGAGCCAGGGGCAGTTGGGGGGCTGGGCCTGTGGCTGTGCAAGCCGACCCCTGATCACCACCCCTGTCGGCTGCAGGTGCCCAGGTACGCACGGTGGACATGCAGAAGCTGACCCATGGCGTCCTGCACACCAAATTCTGGGTGGTGGACCAGACCCACTTCTACATTGGCAGTGCCAACATGGACTGGCGCTCCCTGACCCAGGTCTGCCTGCACCCTTCCCACCCACCTTTCCAGGCCCCTACCTGCTCCACAGGTGCCCAGCCTCCAACTATACCCCTCTTCAACTCCAGAGTTCTCTCTGTCCAGTTTGCAAAGCCTTCCTTCCCACTTCCTACCAGAAACGTCCCCAAATCCAGCCCTCTACTGCCCTCCGCCTGTTTATGGGAGCCTGGGGCTCTCTCTTGTACCCAGTGACAGCTGCCGGCCCCTCTACAGGGCGTTCAAGGCCCTGTCCATCCATTTGGCCCTCACTACTCATTCTCTGAATGCCTCCTGTAAGCCCAGCCCTGTTCTGGATGATGCTGGGAACATCATGGTAACAAATGGACCTCTCAGAACTCCCAGTCCAGTGCAGAGAGAGACCAGGCACCAGGCAGTGTCAGCCCAGATGAGTCAAGGCTGGGATGGGAGAGGAACAAGCAGAGGGGTCCAGGCAGGATGGGGGCCCCAACCAGGGGTATCAGGGAAGGACTCCAAAAGGAGGCAATAACTAATCTGATAATGGAAGGATCTGCAGGAGTTAGCACAAGACAGGAAAGAGGGTACAGCTCAGGCAGTGGTCATTTGCTTGGCCCCTAATCTCACCGACTCCTCGGGGTGATGATGAACATACAGCTGTGACTGAGATGTCCCCGGTGCCTGTCCTTCCAGTCCAATGGGGAGACAGGTTTGTCACCAGAGAGAGGGATGAGGGAAACCCAAGGGACCGTGAGAGCCTAGAGGAATGCTTAAAGCAGTCTGGGCAGCCAAGGGAGACTTCTTGGAGGAGGAAACTGTCAGCTGAAACCTAAGAATGAGTAGGAGCTCCCTCATTGCAGGGTAGAAGCAACAGCATATGCAGAGGTTCAAGAAAACTGGAGCTTTAGAAAGAATGATTTTCACAAAAACTTGGGGGCAGGGGTGTGGAGCTTAGAAGGAAAAAAAAGGGACAGGAACAGAGAGAGGGGGAGATTGAGGGACAAGGGGAAGAACAAGGGCCAAGGGGGCAGGGAGAAGGGGCTGGAGGTGTCCATGTCACCTGTGGGCACCAAGCCACTACCCCAGGCTCAGCACTGCCCTCCCACAGGTCAAGGAGCTGGGCGTGGTCATGTATAACTGCAGCTGCCTAGCTCAAGACCTGACCAAGATCTTCGAGGCCTACTGGTACCTGGGCCAGGCGGGCAGCTCCATCCCATCAACCTGGCCTCGGTCCTATGACACCCGCTACAATCAAGAGACACCAATGGAGATCTGCCTCAATGGGACCCCTGCTCTGGCCTACCTGGCAGTGAGTCTGAAGGAAGAAGGGCCTGTCACACCCTGGCCACATGCCCTCACTCATGGCCTCCATCCAGTCCTGCCCAGGGATTTGTGGGGAGGGGGCTTTTGGCCACTAGTAGCCCTTACTCCTCTCTCTGCTTAGTCAGGGGCCCCGGGCTATGTCCCAGCCTCCACAGGCCTTGGTTTCATCTGGAAAATGGTTATCATAATGTCTACAACCTGTTAGGGCTTGCACGGCCCCAGCCATACTTCCCCATTAGCCCTATATCCTAATGGTTGAAAATTCAGTTCCTCAGTTGTACCAACTACATTTCAAGTGTTCAGCAATCACGTGTAGCAAGCAGCTGCCGTATTGGACACTGCAGATATGGAAGGTTTCCCTCATCTCAGAAAGTTCTGTGGGATAGTTGCCTTTCGCAGATAGTTGAACATTTAACTATTGATACTTTCACTGGCTGGGATTGCCAACCTTATCCCCGCCCGTCCCCCTAAGCAAGTCACCTGGACAAACCCAGACTTGGCGGGGGGGACACCCAAAGGTGCATGGATGCAGGTGTCCTGCGCCCACAGGGGATTGAGAGCTCCCCCATTACGACTTCCCGTCTCAGAGCTTGAGTCTGCTCACCTGTCATAAGGATGGGGAGCGCTGGTTAAAGGGCCTGAGGTGCATGGGCACATGAAGGGTGCCAGCCAGGCGGCCTGTGAGTGAGTCAGGAACGGAAGCGATGAGAGCAGAGGCCCTCAAACCTGATCGTGCATCAGAACTTCTGGGAGGGCTGTGAAACCCAGATTCCTGGGCCCCACCTCAGCACCCTCAGCATACACAACATGCCATGTGTAGCGAGGCCTAAGAATTTGCAATTCTAACAAATTCCTGATGCTGTTAGTACTGGATCAGGGACTTGTCATGAGCTGCTGGGTGAGAGCATAAATTCTGGAACCAGACAACCTAGATTCAAATCCTGGCTCCATTTATCAGCTGTGTGACTCAGGCAAGTCACTTACCCTCTCTGAGCCTCCATTTCCTCACCTGTGAAATGGACGTGGTGATCATCCCTGCTCTTCATGGAGGCTGAGGATTCAGTGAGATCTGCAGGACCAGGCTAGGGGCAAGCTCTCTGTACATGGGGTCCATTGTGGTGGCACCCCTGGCAGGCACACGTCTTGAGTGTGCCCTTGTCCCCAGAGTGCGCCCCCACCACTGTGTCCAGTTGGCCGCACCCCAGACTTGAAGGCTCTGCTCAACGTAGTGGACAACGCCCGGAGTTTCATCTACATCGCAGTCATGAACTACCTGCCCACAATGGAGTTCTCCCACCCGCGCAGGTACTGCTGGGTGTGTGGACGGGGCTGCAGGCAGGGAGCCCCCAAGAGTGGAAGAGGAGCAGAAGAGGGAGCGAGAGGGCCCAGAAGGCAGGCAGTGGAGCCAAGGCAAGGGAACGGATAGAGGGGAAGTGATGGGGAGAGGCAGAGAAGGCAGAGGTAACAGGGAGAGAGGGGTTGGGTGCTCTAGCCAGGAGCAAAGGGAGCAGAGAAAAGGAAGAAAACATTGGGGTTGGGGGGCTGAGATCGGGACTGGAGCCCTAAGGAGGTGGCATGGGATTTCTGGAGGTAGGAAGAGGGAACATGGGCTGGAGATGGGATGAGGGCTTGGGAATGGGGGCTAAGAATTTTCAGGTTTGGAACAGCAGGGTTGGGGGCTCAGAGAAAGTAGTCTGGGGGAAGCAGACAAGGTGATGGAAAGACTGGGTTTGGGGGCAGGAATGGAAGCCAGAATAGGGGAATAGGAGATGTGGGATTTAAGGAGGCAGGAACAGCACTGGGAGCCAGAGATGGGGTGGTCTTAGGGTTTGGGGGCTCTCAGAAGCTGAAGCAAGCTGAGGGGGAGGCTTGTGAATAAAGCCGCCCTCCATACCCTGCACCTCCTCCCCAAGGTTCTGGCCTGCCATTGACGACGGGCTGCGGCGGGCTGCCTACGAGCGGGGTGTCAAAGTGCGCCTGCTGGTCAGCTGCTGGGGACACTCGGAGCCATCCATGCGGGCCTTCCTGCTCTCCCTGGCTGCCCTGCGTGACAACCACTCCCACTCTGACATCCAGGTGGTAAGCACCTGCCACAGACCAACTCCTTAGCTCTGCCCTGTGCTGGGCAGTACTGGACACATGGTGCTTGTGGACTCACCTGTCATTTGAAAGGGACAACCCAGAATGAGTTGTGCAGTGATGGGGAAACCATGGGTCAGGGCCCAGACCCGGGGGCGGGGGGGGAACGGTCAGGCTGGGATGGGGCAGCCTAGAGGAAGCACCTGCCCTAGCCTGAGTGATCATGGAAGGTTGTCTGGAAAAGGGGACAGCTGAGGTGAACGTGTGGCAAATGCAACTAGGTCCTCCCAGCCAGCATTGACTGACACCCACCCCTTCAGCCCTGCTCTGGCCCCGAGGTTCCGTGGGTTCCCCAGTCCTGCAGACCTGGCGTCACCCCCCATCCCAGACCCTGGGGCTTCTCTAATCCCTACTTCATCTCCTGCTGCTTCCCATTCTCCCCTCCTCCCCAGAAACTCTTTGTGGTCCCTGCGGACGAGGCCCAGGCCCGAATCCCATATGCCCGAGTCAACCACAACAAGTATATGGTGACTGAACGTGCCACCTACATCGGTGAGTGTCCGAGTACCGCCAGGGGGCTGGGAGGGGACATTCAGGCACTGCCATGGGCTCTGACTCTGCCCTCTGCCCTGTAGGAACCTCCAACTGGTCCGGCAGCTACTTCACAGAGACAACAGGCACCTCACTGCTGGTGACACAGAATGGGCGGGGTGGCCTGCGGAGCCAGCTGGAAGCCGTTTTCCTGAGAGACTGGGACTCCCCTTACAGCCATGACCTTGACACCTCAGCTGACAGCGTGGGCAATGCCTGTCGCCTGCTCTGAGGCCCTTAAGGCCCCCACAGACCCAGATACTCGGGGTCATGGTCCCTGTCCCCATGCCCCTGCTTCTCTCCGTCCCATTGTGGCTCCATAGACCCCCTCGCTCTCCCACCTCTACCTCCGCCCCTGCCAGCCTGACCCTGTGGCCCCTGGGGCCCAGTCGAGCTGGGGGAGGAATCAGCCCCAGAAGAAGTGGGGGTGCATGCTGGGCCTGTCCCCTGGCCCGCCCCCTTCCCAGGGCAAAGAGGGCCCAAGGTTATAAGGAAAAGTAAATAACTTGTCTGTACAGCCTCTGCCTGACTGAGTGGTGTAAGGCGGGGTGTCGGGGTAGGGGACAGCCAGCATGGACCTCTGGTGGGAACATGAGCACGCAGATATCTTAGCATGTGTTTGCCATGTGCGAAACACATAGCATGTGACTGGCATGTGCTGAGCCCTCAGCAGGTAACCTGTGGCTGATGAGCATGCAGCATATAGCCCACTGGTTTAGCACATGCTGAGCCCTTAGCATGTAACTGCACCAGCTGGCATGTGCTGAGCCTTCAGAGTACAATGTACATGAGCTGACACGTGCTGAGCATGTCATGTGTGACCACGAGGCTGGCGTGTGCTGAGCCGCCTGTAGCCAGCACGGAGTAGTGTGTGCAGCACACTCAGGGCGCTCCCACGGATAAGCACACACTCCACCACTGCCAACCCCAGCAGTGGACTCACATGTCTGAACACTGGAGTGTGCACCAAGCATGAAGTTGCACCTGCCAAGTGAATTTACATTTAGCATGTCCCAAGCTTGGATGAGTACAAGGCAAGTCTAACATGTGACAAGGACAGGTAAACAATGAAACCTTGACATCTGCCAAGCTTGGATTGGCACCTGCTGAACAGAGAATGTTCTGAGGGTGGGTTCTCAGGTGCGCAGCACTTAGCATATTTAGGGGGTGGGTCATTGTGCCAAACAAAGCCTGTCCCTCCCTCCCTGTGCTATGGTAGCCCAGCCTCCAGCCTGAGCCAAGAGCCAACTGGATGCAGCATCAGAGAAGAGCCGGGGCACCAGCCTGAGCCCCACCCCGGCCCAGTCTAGGCCTCCCCTCCGGCAAGGAGGAAGAGTATGAAGCAGGGCTGTGAACAGTTCTTTATTGAAATAGGCAGAGGCAACAGGGCCAAAAATGTGCTCAGGGCCAACAGGGTACAGCCACCGTTATGTGTCCCTTTGGCCGAGGGGGCCACAGACCAGAAGCCAAGGCCCTCCTGTATTCGGGGTGCCTCTGCAAGCATGCGCTGTGGGTAGGGGAAATGGGAATTGCTGGATAACTATCTTTCTGTAAGAAATTTCTGGGTTCAGGGTATGGCTCTGAGGAGAGAATGCCAGCCCAGCTAGCTCAGCCACCGGTGATGGGTAGAGGTGGGGTTGCCATCAGTGCTGCCCGCTGACATGTTGCAGAAAGCTGGTGGCCCGGAGCGGACCATGTGGATGGGCATGGCGGGGGCGGAGCCCTGGAGCCCGTGGGCCTCTGATGCCCTCCAGGGTCCAGTCTGGCTCACTCAGCCATTCCCCAGGACAGCTGCTGGGGTCAAAGAGCTCAGGGTCAGGCCTCTGTGGGGGAGAAGAGAGGGCATCAGCCAAGGAGCCACCAGCCTGCCCATCATGGGCTTCCTCCTGTCCCACTTGAACCCTTGTTACTTTCTGAGGGGGATTCTGTACCTTTGCAACCCTCATCAACATCCTGGGGGCTTTGAAAGTGTGTTCTGAGACCGCACCTCTCAGAACCTCTGTGTGCTGAGGTTGTGTTAGTGCCTGCTGAGGCTTTGCCACATCTTCCTGAGTAAGCATTTGCTAAGACCTTGTTCTTCGTGCTGGGCCTTTATCACTTCCTACAGATGGATTGCTGTGTTCTGAGTTTTTACACACAGCCTGATGGCAGACCAGTACATGCAGAGCCTCATCACATCCTAATTATACCCTGAGTATGAGTTAGTGTGTGTGGAGCCTTGTAACATCTTGAGGGTGGGCTAGTGTGTATTGAGTCTTGAGCCAGCTGTAGGCAACACAGCTGTGTGGGGAGTCAAGGCCAGGTTCACTCTGCTCCCCACACTGGAGCTCTGGGGGGAGCCCCTGACCCCAGAACCACCTGCACCGTTCCTGCCTTCCTGACTTACCTCGGCATCCATGGTCATGTCCTTGATGTCTGGCCCATCCCCGTCCCGCTTCGCGATGGTGGGCGGCTTGGCGGAAGCCCCACGGTGTTCTCCTTCTGCCCAGCCGCTGCCCCGGCAGGGCCCATCGTCCTCAGGCGAGGCCTGGCTCAGCCTGATGAGGTTGCTGAAGTTGGAGTCAGACTTGGATCCTGCGGGCAGCTTGCGGGTCTTGTGGCGGCCAGCCAGGCGGCTGCCGTAGAAGGCCAGGATGGGCTCAGGGCCCGAGTCGGGCACCCGGAGGCCAGCAACGGCTGCCTTGAGTGGGGCCAGCATATCGGGGGTCTCACCCCACAGCCCACAGCCTGCCTCCTGCAGACTCAGGTCGTCCAGCTGGTCAATGGCCTTTTGCATGCCCGGTGCCTTCTCCTCATGGAAGAAAGGCCCACTGCCTGCCACACTGCCCAGGCCCATGGCCTCCTCTTCCTCAGCCAGACGGTAGTAGGGGGGTCCATCTTCTGAAGTGGCCACCACGGGTGTAGGGGGCTTGCCCTCCACCTGCAGTGAGAGGCGGCAGCTGCGAAGCGACAGCTGGTAGTAGCGAGTGGTCTCATGGGCGCTACGCAGCTGCTGCATGGACACGAAGGGGTGGCGCAGGGCTGCGCTAGGGCTGATGCGCTCATGTGACTCCCAGGTCAGCATGCGCTTGATCAGCTCCACCATGCTCTTGAGGTCAGCATGCTCAGCCAGTGCCTCCCGGTCCGGGAAGGTCAGCCGAATAGCTGCCCCGCCACCGTTCACTGTCTCAATCTGGTCCAGTGACTTGAGCATGTACTTGCGGCGCTCCAGGGGGTGCACCTGGTGGGACACAGGGGGCAGGGGTCAACACCAAGCCCAGGCCTGGGGCCCTAGGCTCTCCTTCAGTGGGGCCCACAGACGACCCCCTGAAATCCAGTTGGCCGTTCAATCGGGTCTAGAGCTCTCCTGTTGCTATGAAGTCCACACACCTAAATTCTGACTTCCAGTTCTGCTTGTCATCTGGCTTGGAGCCCTCTTGCTGCTGGGAGGGCCACACCTGCTTTCTCTAGCCTAATCCAGAGCCTTCTTTCAGCTGGAAGTACACCTGAAAGTGTTCTTTGGTCCTCCAGTTGTCTAACCCATAGTTATCATTCAAGTTTCACACCTCATCCCAGACCTCCGCCCCTGCCCAGAGCTGTGGGTCCAGCCCCTACCAGCTGGAGCCAGAGGGACCGCCCTAAGCCTCTAGTCTTCTTTGGAGTCAAACACACACTCCTCCTGCTGCTGCTATAGTCCCCACACCCAATCCCAGCCCTCCCGGCCTTCCAGGCGTGCAAACTCCTTGCCACACTAGTTTGATGAACCCCCAGGCAAGGAGCTATCAGAGGAGCTGCTACTTCTTTCAGTCCCATCTTTGGTCTCTCCCCCAGACCCTTCTTGTTGTGACAGCTGGTCCAAACTTCTAGCCCTTTGCTGTCTCACCCAGACTTGCTGCCCAGGTGTGCTGACTGAAGCCTCAGGGGGAGCAGACAGTCTTAGATGTTGAGCTCCCCAGCCCCGCGCCTCATTTAGATCCTTCACACAGCATGAGTTTGCCTCACTGGCAGAGGGGCTACCCTACCCTTTCCGTCACACTTGTGATATAACCCAGATCCCTCTTGCTGCAGCAGCCCCCACAGTGATCCTCAAGCTTCCAGTCCCACCTTTGGTCTCATCCAGATCCCTCTTGTGACAAAACCCCACAGCTGACCCCCCGAGCTTCCAGGCCTCCCTGAGGTCTAACCTAGATTTCTTTCCCCTTGATGTGGCACCCCCACACTGACTGGCCTCGCTCCACCTGCCCCCCTACCTTGGTCTCAGCCAGGTAGTCAGCCGAGGACTTGAGCTGCCAGGGGTTGGTGGTGTCAGGGTGGGGGTTGCGCTTGAAGAAGTGGTGGGCCTTGCGGGCGGCGTGCAGCAGGTGGGGCTTGGGCAGGCCCTGGGTCTCACAGATGTAGCGCACCTGGTCATACTCGTTGTTGCCTGGGTAGAGCGGCCAGCCCAGGTGCAGCTCGGCCATGACGCAGCCCAGTGACCACACGTCCACCTTCTCGCAGAAGGGTAGCCCCAGCAGAATCTCGGGAGCCCTGTAGAAGCGCGACTGAATGTATGGCTCCTTCACGTAGCGCACCTCGCTGAAAATGCTGGCTGAGCCAAAGTCAATAACCTGTGTGGGGAAAGGGAGGCCAGTGTACAAGGGAAGGGGTGAGGGCAGGAGGTCTGGGCTTCCCCTGGCATCTCTCCCCACTGTGTGTCTGCATCTGCCATCTGACTGTCCGTCACTGTGTCTGTCTTTTCTCTTGTTTATGTTCCTGTCTCCTCCAGCCTTGGTCTTTGCTTTATCTGTCTGTATCTCTATTTTTTTCCACTAGAGTGTATGTCTGTGAGCATGAGAACCTCTCTCTCTCTCACCCCAAACCTTGTCCATCAGCAAATCTTGTTGATTCCACATTCTGAACAGATCAAGAATCTGCCCACTGAACATCCCAGCCACAGTCCCCACCCTGGTCCTGTCCTCCATCACTTCCTGCTGAGACTGCTCTCCCTGCTCCCCGCCTCCGCCCCCCAGTCTGTTCCTCACATGTACCCAAGAGATCCTGTGAACACCTGAGTTGGGTCATGTCCTTCCCCTACTCAGCATCCTCTTATAGCTTTACCACATCCTGTAATAAAAGCTAAAGTCCTCACCGCAGGCCGAAGGCTCCTATGATCTGCCCATCTCTCAGCTGCTCCCACTTTCCCCCTCAGGAACCCTGCTCCAGCCACACGGGCCTCTCTCACTATTCCCTGAACAGCCCAGGCGCATTCCCAGCTCAGGGCCTTTGCATTGGCTGTTCCCTCTGTTTGCAATGCTCTTCCCCCCAATGTACACACCACTTTCCACTTCATCTCTTCAGGTCTTTTTTCCTGTCACCTTCTCAGGCCTCCCCTGATCATCCTATCAAAAAAAAACAGGACCCCTGCTTTTCCTAGCCTTCCTAGTCCTCTGCTCTTCTCCATAGCTCTCAACACCATTTCACAAACTATATATTTTACATTTTTAATGAGTTCATTAATTTCTCTAACCAGCTAGGATGTGAGCCCCACCAGGGCAGGATTTTGCCTGTTTACTGCTGAGTCCCTAGATGCCTAGAACAATGCCTGGCACAGAGCAGGTGCTCAGAATGAATGAATAAATGAATGAACGGATGGATGAATGGGCTTTTTATCCATTATTGTCTTTCTGTCTCTTGCTTACATCTCCCTTGTACGTTCTTTGCCTCTTCATCGCTTGTCTCTGTCTCTCATCTCTCAGTGTCTCTCTCCATCTGCCTCTGACTCACTCACTGGAAACACATCTCCAGGAGCCCAGGTCCTCCTATCATCAAGCACTGTTTGCCCCCACACAGGACCTTGGTACGTGGCAGGCGCTTGACGAACACCTATTGGACTAACATGGAGTAGCTGAAAGCCCTTGTCTCTCCGTATGGCTCTGGGAGGAGCTATCTGCCATTTTTATTCTGACTCTGTTTTATCTGTTTACCTCCATGACTCTATTTTGATCCCCACCTCAGTTTTCCCCTGTGTTTCTCTGCTTTTCAGTCAGCCATCCCTCATCTTCTACTTGTGGGAGGTGGTAGGACAAAATGGTTACCAGCCTGAATGCACACTGCCGAGGCCTGAATCTTGGAGAGCTTGAGTCAATGCCAGTGGGATGCATCCATTCATTCATTCCACAGACATGGTAGGGTGGCGTGGACCCGTCCTGTCTCCTGCTGAGTTTGTGCAGGTCTCTCCCTCCTTGGGTCTCTGTCATCTTCTCTCTCACAGCAGAGTGCTCTGCCTCTTCCTGTCCCTGTATCGCTCTGTGTCTGACATTCACTTAGCACTGACTCCACAACGGTGCTGTGCTGGGAGATGCCAAGGACACAGTGGTGACCAAAACTGCCTTGTCCCTGCCCTCGAGGTGCTCCTAGTTCCTATCATCACCAGACAGGAACAAACCCTGAAGCAGAGCGGTCGGACCCAGGGCGGGCATTCAGGAAATGTTTGTTGACCAAAACACTCCCTGTGAGGAGCTATGGCTCTGCCATCCTTCCTGTTACTCAGGCCAACAGGCTTTCATCCCCCCTCAAGTCCTCTCTTACACTTCATGTGAGACCTGCCAGCAAATCCTGTTTGTCTCCAGCTCCAAAATCGCCTCAGACCCACCCCTGCGCCCTCCTCGCACTACCTCGTCTCCAGTCCTGCCCACCCAAGTCTCCCATCTGGGCTGGTGCAGTCACCCCTCACCGTCCTCCTGCTTCTGCCCCATTCCAGTCTGTTGCCCTCACAGCCAGAGCATCCAGGGCTGGGGAAAGCTGGGAGGAGACAGAAACAGGCAATGCTGCTACCCCAGGGCGACCCCTCACCTTGACCCTGAAGGGGCAGCGGGTCTGGTCCACCAGCATGATGTTCTCAGGCTTGAGATCGGCGTGGATGATGGCCAGCTCCTTGAGGCGGGCCAGGGCCCTGAGCACCTGCAGGGTGACGGTGCGGATGTGGCGGGCCGGGAGGGGTGCAAAGTTGTTCTCCTTCTGGAATTCGAAAAGATTTTGCTCCAGCAGCTCGAAAACCAGGTAGAACTTGAGGGCGTCATGGAAGAACTCAAGGAAGCGGATGACGTGGGCCTCCTCAGGGTCCAGGCCCCTCATGCAGTGCAGCAGCTTCAGCTCGTTCTTGATGATACGGTTGCGGTAGGCGTCATTCTTGAGGATCTTGATGGCCACCATCTCACCTGTGCTTCGCCGCCAGCCCTTGGCCACCTCCCCGAAGGTGCCCTTGCCTAACACCTCGATGATGTCGTAACAGTCAGTCTCTGACTGAATGGTGGCCATGGTGCCCCTGCTGCCAGACACCACCCTGCCACCACCTCCGCCCCACAGGCTCTGCCTTTGAGGCCTCTCGGCCCCCCTCCAGAACCGGCCCCAAGGTACCCTCAGTGGGGGAAGAGAACCGCACTCGTGCCTACCCCTGCGAGGTTTGCCGTTGCCTCCCGGGTACCCCCCAACCCCTGGGCCACAAGGGGAATATGCCAGGGGTTGCACCCCTCCCCCAAAGCCCTCCTGGCTTGGGACAAGGGGCCCCAGGCCCCCCCAAATGGGTTCCAGCGTTGCTGAGTAGCTCTGGTTCTGTTGTTGGAGACCTGAGCCCCTGGGTGGAATGGGGGGTGGGGTGGCAGTTCAAGTCCCCCTCCCCCATCCGGTGGCGGAACCCTGAAGAGGTCAGAGAGGTAAAGGGTCCACTGAGAGGGAAGTCTGATGGTGGACCTCGGGCAGAAGCATGGAACATTCCCAAACGGAGGCGAGAAAAGGGGCTTTCCAAACTCTGGGGTTGTGTGTGTGTATGTGTGTGTGAATTTTCAGAAAACACCTGCTCTAGCCTGTGGCTGCCAGTGAGGGAAGGTATGGCCAAGGCAGGTCCAGGTAATAAAAGTCTTGAATGCCAAGCTAAGGACTTTGGAATTGTTCTGACGGCACTGGAAAGCAAGGGAGGGAAGGGTCAGGTGTGAGTGTCGGAAAGATACTATGTGAAGAAGGGTGAATTAGAGGGGGCGAGAGTGGAGGCCTTGAGCGCAGAGCAGGGCCCAGAGGGGAGAGGTTAGGGAGAAGGGGAGGCTTGTGGATGAGACATTTAGGAGGCCAGACTGACAAACTGTGGGGAAGAGAGAGAGCTGTCCAGGACAAAGTGGAATGGTCCCTGAAGCAGGGACGTAAACAGGAGCACTTGTGGGGACAGGGTGCTGAGGTTAAGTTAGGACATTGAACACTGAAACGTTTAAACGCATACTGAGTGCTCTGTAAGCCTTATCTGGCCCTGGTTGGGTAGCTCTGTGGGTTAGACTGTCGTCCTGATATGCCAAGGATGCACCAAAGTTGTGGGATTAATCCCCAGTCAGGGTACATACAAGAATAAACCAATGAATGCGTAAATACACGTAAGTGGAACAGCAAATTGATGTTTTTCTCTCTCTAAAAATCAATAAAGTAAAACATTTAAAGAAAACCTTATCTGATCCTTACAACATACATTTTAGTAGCTCTATTTAATGGATGAGAAAATCAAGGCACAAAAGTTTTTAGTTTATTTATTTTTTAACCACACCCAAGGACGTTTTTGCATTGCTTTTAGAGGGAGAAGAAATCGGGGGGAGAGCGAGAAAAACATGTATGTGAGGGAAAAACATTGCTCGGTCGCCTCCCATACGTGCCGGGGCCAGATATCGAACCCTCGACCTAGGCGTGTGCCCGAACTGGGAATCGTACCTGCAACCTTCCAGTTACGGAATGATGCTCCAGCCAACTGAGCCTCACCAGCCAGGGCAAGGCACAAAAGTCTTTTTAAAAGTTGGGTTTTTAAAGTTTTTTAAAAGCCAGAGACAGGCTTTGACTGCGAGGAGCCTGGCTCCAGAGCCAAGCTCTGTGCCACCGCCACCCCACACATCCTCCTAGTGCCCAGGAGATGTCCAGGGGGAGCATGCAGAGGCCACTGGGCCCCCTCACGGACCCAGGAAAGAATTTGGGAATTATCATCACCCGGGGTGAGGAGTGGGAGCCTCCGAGAGGGTGACAAGCGCAGGGTGGGTATGGAAGCAGATGAGGGCCTGGGAGGAGCCCGGGGGACATGAAGAGAGGAGTGGAGAAGAGGAAGAGGTTCAGGAAGGAGAAAGCGGTCCTGAGAAGTCAGGACAAGGGAGACCGAGGATGCCCTTGTCATGACCACAGAGGGGTCGCTTTGGACACTGACAGGTCAGGTCAGCTGTGGTGGAAGGAGAACACTAAATGCTGGGGGTCTGATCAGGGGGTATGTGCCATGAGGGTAGATAACTCCTGCCATGTTTGGTGGAGACAAAGAGAAAGCATGTGACAGGGTAGTGACCCAAGGGGGGCTGGCCTGAAGAGAGAAGTTGTTAGAGTAAGTGGGGGGTCTGCGACAACTCAAGGGCATGACCCTTCATCCTCTAGGATGGGAGGAGAGTGGAGAGGTGGATATGAGGGCATCAGGGGGTGATTTGGAACAGCATGTCTTCTTAGTCCGGTCTGGGATGTGGCAGAGATGTGGGGGCTGGGCATGGGGGGTGCGCTGGCCAGGTGCTTAGGGGCTTAAATCTGGAGTGAGGTTGGGTCCCTAAGAGCCAAGGCTGAGCACCAGGAACCTAGTCCTAAGAGGGAGCCACATGTCTGGAGTGGAGGCTCTGAACCCCTGATGCTGGAGAGCCAGGAGGGGCCTTCCTGGGCGGGGCCGGGTGGACCAGGCAGTCAAACCAGCCAGACAGCAAACAGCCAGGATGTGCCGGCGCGCTTGTTGGTGGAGAAATGGCCAGCAGAGGGCAGGTGGGTAGCAATCAGTCTGTTCTCTTAGGGCCCTTGGGGCTGTCCTGGCTAGTGTGGGGTTCCCCAGGACAGGTGTAGTCCCAGCAGAGGGGGCCTGCCTCTGTGCTCTGCTGGGGAACTTCCCAGAGTCCTGCTCAGAGGCTCCTGGGAATTCTGAAGGGCTAGGGCAGGCCCCAAGGCCGCCCCGACTCTCCTCAGACCAGGGCCGGCCTGTGTCTCAGCACGGGTTTCCTTCAGGCCGGGCTCAAGTCACCCTCCTTCCTTCTCAGGGATTTTTTTCTCTGCACCCTCCCTTATTCCCGCCGTGTACAGAGGAGACCGGACACAAGGCTACCTCTGAGTTATTTATTCACATGGTATGGCAAGATACAGACACTCTTGCCAATGAGGCGGCATGAGGCCTCCCCGGCCCTTCCCCATCAGTCACCACCTTCCCTGCCCTCTGAGGGTTAGTGCTGGTTATATCACACACAAAACAGGGGTGGGGATGGAAGACAGGAGGGGAGCCTCCCTCTGCCCAGGGACTTCAGACAACCGCAGCCTGAACCCCCTCCATCCTGGTGGGGCCTTCAGCTCCTGTCTCTGTAAACCCCACACTGGGCAGTCGGACCCGGAATCCACCCTCTTCTGGGTCCCTGCTCCCACTCCGAGCCTTGGGGCTTAGGGACACCCTGGGGAAGCGGAACTTGGGGGACTTCTCCCCACCAGGGGACTTGGAGGCTGCCTCACCCTCCTGCCCCCGAGAGGCCTTGGAAGAAGTGGCTAGGCCCACACGGGGCAAGCGAACTCGGAGGCGGCCTCGACGACCAGAGGCCCCTTCTCCGCTGCCCTCTTCTTCCTCCTCCTCCTCCGGGCTGGGGGAGCCTTCCCCAGTGGCAGCCTCGCTCTGGCTGAAGCCCACACGGGGCAGTCTGAGTTTCGGGCTCTTGGCCTTCTCACCCTCCTCACCCCATTCCTTGGCCCGCACGAGGCCAAACCGGGGCAGCCGCACCTTGAGCTTGTGTCCAGCATCTCCCTCGCCCTCTACCACCTGGTACTCAGCATGGCTGCCCATGGCAGGTGGAGAGATCTCCACATCAGGCAGTGAGAGGTGGAAGGTTCGTGGGACCCCTGCGGGCTGGTCCCCAGGCCCCTCAACTCCAGCCCCAGCTCTGGCCCCCCGTGTGGGCATCTTCAGCTTTAGCCCACCTTCACCTGTGACTGCCTCACCCACCTGTGCCTCTCGGTTCAGCCCCACGTCCAGCTCAAGCTGGGGCACCATCACAGCAGGCATCTTGAAAACACCCTCTCCCACCAACAGCTCACCACCTGCCGCCTGGGCTCCGGGCAGAGACAAGGTCACCTGAGGCACCTGGACCCTGTAGCCTGCTGTGCCCTCTGCTGAAGGGACCGCACTCTCGACCTTCTGCCCTGAGGTGGCACCTAGACTGGTCTCATTGAAGCTGGTCAGCTCCACCTGCGGTAGGGAGATGCCCAGGGGCATCCTCAGCACCCCCTCCTGGCCCTCAGTGCCTGTCTGCCTGGTCATGGGCACTTGCAGGCCCGACAGCCGTGCCCCACTGATGGCCGCCGCCCCCTCTGCCCCCACTTCCTCCTGGGCCCCCAGTGTAACCAGCTCCACCTCGGGAATCTTAAGCTGACCAGCGATAAACTCTGTCTTTTCCCCAGGGCTGATATGCCCACCCTGGATTTCTACCTCCTTCCCTCGAGCCAGCCCAAAGGAGGGCATCTTCAGCTTGGGCATCTTCACCCTCCCCTCCCAACCCCAGCCCTTGCCTTCCAACTCAGCCACCCCTGGCACTAGTTCTCCTGCCTCGGTGTCCCGGACTCTGACCCCAAACTTGGGCAGGGTGAGCCTGGGCCCCTTGAGCTTGAGATCAGCCCCTGCCATCTCCACCTTGCCCGCGGGCAGGTGGGCATCCAGGCTGAGCTGCGGGATGGACAGATCGAGGGCAGGCAGCAGGCCTGCCTCTGCGGCCCCTTTAGCTTCAGCCTCAGTCCCCACCCGAGCCTTGGGGAGTGAGATGGCGAACTTGGACACCTTCAGCTTGGTGGCTCGCCCAGCCCCCTCAGCCTCTGCCTTGGCCACCTTCGGCCCTGAGAGTCCAAACTTGGGCAGGAAGAACTTGGAGGTAGGTTTGACTTTCATCTCCATCACCTCTACCCGCCCTTCCTCGCCTTCCACTGTGGGCAGCTGTGGAGTGACGAGCTCAACGGAGGGCATCCGGAAGGCCCCTTCCCCAGCTCCTGCTGCCACTTTGCCTTCTGCTCGGTCCACCTTGCCCACTTTGGCCTCTGGGGCCTGCCCCTCCAGGCCGAGTGCTCTTGGCAGGTCTAGCTCCACTGAGGGCAGTGTGAGAGAGGGGACACGCACATGAGCCTCACTGTCCACCTCTGGCTGCAGACAGGGAAGTGTCACCAGCTTCCCTGAGACTTCGGCCCCTTCCTCACCTGGTTTGCCTCGTGAGGGGGACGCTGCCCTCCCTAGCCTGGGCATGGTCATC